CGATCGTTTTTTTGTGAACGACACCATCGTTCACAAAAAATGTTGTTCATTTGCAAAACTGGCAATTCAAGATTTACAACTTTACAAGCTTTGACTTATCAAGTTTAGTGACTTGCGCATTTCTACTGCAGGAAAACATATGAGAATTTTAAGTATCAAATGATTTAAAGCCTAGAAAAACAACGATATCTTCAACATTGATCAGTTAAAAGTTTCAAGTGTACTGTTGTGAATCGAGCATTGGCGTCTGAGCTTGTAGTCACTAAAATTAATGTGTACAGTCTCATGATTGTAAAATCGTCATTTCAACTTTTTAAAGATTTTTCATTGAAATAAAACCTGCCTAGAAGTCCACACATACCCCAGCACCCTTCTCTCTCAGGTTCTCCACCCCTCAACTTTATCTCAACACACCACGCCCTACACCCGGCCACACCTTTTCTAGAAACAAATATGGTCTCCAGTACATCAGGGGCGGGCTCGGACGCGCCCCTTGAGAAAACAGAATATAAGAGTAGGGTTGAGAACATATTGAAAACTGAACAAATCTTTCTAATGTTACGAAGACATCAATTTATTACAAGGATAACAAAAAAATTTTGAAAAATATTACAAAAAATAGCTTTATAAATTAAATTTTTTTTTTAATTTTCACAATTTTTTTAAAAGATGTATTTATCCCTGCATGCAGTGATGTGAGCAAAGAGTTGTATAAAGGGTATAGGTTGACCCAACCACTATAAGAGCCGGATATCAGTGTAGGATTAACACAAGTAGCGGTGGTGCGGGTGGAGGGGGGTGGTAGACAGAAAGTATTGAAAATAATTCTCATGGATTTTGATGCCTAAATTGTATGTAAATCAAAATATCAGGTTAGGTTTAAGATTTAAACTTCACAAAAAGACATTAAGAATCCTTTTATTACTGAACAAATTACTCTAATGTCTAATTTTCTTCCTGTGTCGTTACTAACCTCTTACTTACTTACAGATTATTGTTCTTTTTTTATGTATCAAAGTTTTAAGATATCAGGTTTCAAAGATACGAGGATGAGAGCATTAGAGCTTGTGGCAAGTAAATAACAATTATATATTCGATCATGGGGACCACGGAATTTTGTTTATTTGTATTGGATTCTTGGCATTGCTTCATTATATGTAATATAAGAAAGTCACGGGAAAAAAAGTATTTAGAAAAAAATACTTGAAATTAGAAATCTAGAAGACATCCAAAATCCAAGTCCTTCGAAAAAAGTCATGGACTATAAAGTTATAGTATTTTTTAACAATGTCTTTGGATACAAAAGTCCTGATTTTGTTTTCTTCAAAATAATTTGCAGTACACATTTGCAGGACTTTTTTAGTATCAGAAATTAGGTTTTTTTATGCCCTGGGTGGCCTCTTTTTAATCTATGGTGAACATATCCTGAAACCCATATTTTTGTTATGAAATTCCCACATTCTTTTGAATGATCATCTTCCAGCATTAATATTTGGGATTCTCTTTGTTATGTACTTTTTAAAAGTTTAAACTTTATATTAGATGTCATATAATTGACGTGCCATTTATTTATTTTGATAGTGTTAACATTTAAATTCATATTTTTTTATATTTCTTAATATTTTCCAGGGCACAAAATTATCTAAAATTCTACTGGTTGAAGGGGGCTCGTAAAGTATTTTTGCCAAAAACATTTATTTTTCTCTCGAAAAAGAAAAGTTTTGGGCTCAAATACTTTATACCTCGCCTCCCTTCAACCAGTAGTAGGGTTATAAATAGTCATTTTTGCAAATATCTTTATATTGTGACTTTTTAGGATGTTACCTTATAGTGATACAATAAATTAGCAAACAGTAAAATTTTGCCTTTTACTAAATTAAACAAGTTCAATGTAAAGAATTGGTTCGAAGATGGAATATCTATTCATGGTTAAAAGCTAGGAGAGTATTTCTGACGCTTTCATCGATCAAATAAAGTATACACATCTGTAAACCAGGATTCAATATATAGTCTCTTACAGCTAGAGATGGACACGTTCGGCTTTTTCATTTCGTTTGTTCATCGCTTGTTAACGACCCGTATTGTTATTTTTTTTTCAATCGAAAAAAAATGATTTCGTTCGTTTTCAAAATTATTGTTCATTTTTTATCTGTTTTGTTCGTTTTCTCTATAAATTATAGTTGAGTAAAATCGTTCATTCAATAAAATCGTTCGTTTGAAAAGATTGTTAGAAAGATCGTTTGTTCAGTAAAAAAAAAACTATAGTTTGCTCAAAAGTTTGTTGAAAACTGTAGTTTTTTCAAAAGTTTTTTAGAAAAAACTATAGTTTTTTTTGAAAAGTTTGTTTGAAAGATCGTTTGTTCAGTAAAAAAGCTATAGTTTTCTCAAAAGTTTGCTGAAAAACCTTAGTTTTTTTAAAAAGTTTGTTCGAAAAAACTATCCTTTTTTAAAAAGTTTGTTCAAAAAATCGTTTGCTCAGTAAAAAAACTAAAGTTTTCTCAATATTTTGCTAAAAAAACATAGTTTTTTCAAAAGTTTGTTCGAAAAAACTATTGTTTTTTTGAAAAATCGTTCGTTCAGCAAATAACAATACTTTTTTATTATTATTTTATTCATTTTTAAAAATTGATCGTTTTCTCATTTCTGTGAAAACGATCCAAGTCATTCATTCATCATTCGTTTGTTTTCTAAACGACACCATCGTTCACGAAAAATTTAGTTCGTTCCCAAAAATTTTGCTCATTCACAAAAACGGTGCTCATCTCTACTTACAGGGGGGGGGATTACAGGGGGGAAGGGATCAGCTTTTAGTAGTATGAAGGAAAGTTAAGGTTGGCATGAATTTAGAAGATTTTCATAATTGCGATTTTAAACATTTTTATTGGACTACAGACTATATAGCAATAGATATGTAAACACAGAACAGAGAATATGAATAGAAATGAAGTTAAACAATCCCTCGGTATGAATTTTGTCAGGCCCTTTCAGTCTGAAAAGGAGTTCAAAGTGTACAATTCATGTAAATGGATTTTTATCAAAACTTATGCTGAAATGAACTCGGGAATGCATGGCAGGCTATCAGAGAATCAATTTAGAGATATTCAAATAATTTTCAAGAAAACTTTTCTATAAAATGATATTCCAGGGCCCAAAAGGTTATATAGCACAAATGTGTGAAGTACATCTGCAGTATGGAGACAGTACAACACTTTTTTCGAGTAAATTCCACTCTATTTATAATCTATTCTCTTTGTGTATAAATCTGTAATCTCTGTTTGCCGACTTGTCTGTTTTTGTGTCCGATCATAACTCCTGAACCCCTTGATGACCGATTTTCATCAGACTTTGATGGGGGACATTGTTAGAAACACAGGAATATTCTAAATTTTAAAATGAAAGAAAAACTACCAAAAACTTTCAAATTTCTACCCTTTCTAAAATTCATATATATTTAGTCTGCTTTAGTTCTGACGTTTGTTGAATCAAATCTCTATAAAGGTTTTCGTCATCTTGAAAAGGTTTTTACATTTTGATAAAAGGTTTCTCTATTTGTACATCAGAGAAATCCATTCCCACAAATCCACTATCATTTAAAACTGTTATACGCAGGGTTACCTATCATTTAATGTTATAGATATATACACAGAGTTTCCTTTTATTAAAACTGTAGATATATATACAGGGCTTCGTATCATTTAAAACCGTTTATGTACAATACATATGAAGGGTTACTTAGAAAGGATGAGACTTCAGAGAGGGTTTTACGAAATTTATCTGATCTTTTTATTTCTTAAAGGGACAGACCGGCTGTGTAAGGTAGTTAAACTGAGTATGCAGTGTTGTGGACAAATTCTTTAGGATTCATTTGAGACATATAAAACTTTACAAAAGATCTGTAAATCCTGAGTTTGAGCGCAAAGTCGACGTTCAAAATCGTACTTTTGGATAGATACGTTTTCAGAATTTTTTTTTTTTAATTTTTAAATAACGACGACAAAAAATATAAATAAAATTCTATTGTAAACTAATAGGTTGTTTAGGAACAGCTCGATCATCGAAAATAAGTAAGCTTATTCAATTATTAGTTTCTTTAATCTCTCTTGGATCACAAAGATTTTCTGCAGATTTGCTGGACTTTTTATTGAAAAGACGACATTTAAGAATTTGAAGAAATCTGTGAACAATTTCATAGAAAATAAGAAATTCAATATAATGATGAAAAAGGAAATAATTAATTCTAACTTCAATTTATTGACAAAATTCTTTTAAGAAACATCATCTAATTAGTTTACTATAGAATTCTTACTATATTTTTCGTCTTCGTTATGCAATAATTTAATAAAAACGATTCTGAAAACGAACCCACCCGAATTCATGATTTTAAACGTCGAGCTTATGCACTCAAACTCAGTAATTAATTATACATCGTGGAATAGTTTTATATGTCTCAAATAAATCCTTAAGAATTTGTCCACAACACTACGTACTCAGTTTACCTACCTTCCATAGCCGGTCTGTCACTTTAAACATAAGTGCTTTTCCAGGGACCAAGTTCATCATTATTTAAATTAGAGTTTCCAGGGACCAAGTTCACATCGTTTAAACATTTACAAGTATGGAGTTTCCAGGGACCAGAAGATAATGGATTAATCCACGAAATTTAGAGTTAATTAAATTCTGAAACTTTTAGATTAAATATTCATTTATTTTGTTGGTTTGTAGCAACTCTCTTCTTCTTATTCTCATTTATATATCTGCGAATAAATATAAAACTTCATTTAAAAGATTTATTTTCGTTTCTTAATTCAAACTTGCCTTATTTAATTTTTAGTTTTCAACTGAAATTAAACGTTTTTTCTTTTTTTCTTATGAAAATTTTCTTTTAACATTTCTTTACCTTATTTATTTTAGGAGATTAAAACTTTTTATTGATAAATATCTTTAAGAATATTTAAACATTTTAAAAAGAAAATTTTTAACCTGAACCCGGAAGCCCAATTTGGTTTCTTAAAAAATTATTTTTAAAAAGATTTTTTTAATTTGTTGGCGTGGTTTTTTAAAGATAGAAGTGTCTATTCAAATAAAAGGCAATAATTTTTCTAAACCATAAAAAATTAATGTTTGAAAATATAAAAAATTGTATATTAATAATAATATTTTTGGTTGACTCCAGTTATGATCCAATATCACATTATATAACTCAGGATACTTTATAGCAATTAATATAATATAATACTTTAATATCTAGTATATTCTACAAATAGAGATGGATGTCGTTTTTATATTCCTTTTTAAACATTCCAGATTTTTCACCTTTTATAAGAGCCTCAACAAAAAAGTATTTGGTATATAACATCAAAAACGCATAAAATTGCTAAAAAATCGTTTTTTAAAGGTTTATTAATTACTCTATCTTAAGATATATGAAAAATTAAAACGATTATTGAATCGCTTTGATTAGAAATATGCTTGGTAAAAAGAAAAATGTTTTACAATTTAATAAAAACTAACTTAAAGAGAAAACCATTTTAGATTATAATAAACTTATTAGATTTTTGCGGAGGCTCTATAAAGTATACAAAACATCTTGAATTTTAAAAAAATTAAGAAAAACTCTGCCATCTTTACTTTGAACCCACTCTGGTTCTTTTGTACTGAACTACTTAGTGTCTGAGTTAGTTTTGGCCATGATTGAACCTTGGGATACTTCTAGCGGAGTATGTTGGGAGGATTGGGCAGATTTAAAGGAAGATTTTCGGGTTGGAGAAGGAGACGATTGGGAGAATTGAGAGGAGCTTGGCTGAGCTTTACAACTCGAACCTGAAATATCTGAAAAGGACACTTTAGGAGATTCATTGTGATCCTCTGGAGAGAACGGGTTCTGCAGTTGCTCCGGGTACCCTGAGAACCCTGAGTTGGATTGGTGTAGACTCGGAGGAAGATCATGTTGAGAGAGCTGGGAGAGCTGGTAACCCTGAGAAGAGCTGCAATGCATGTTTTGACACTTAGAGGTGGATCCAGGGCCCGGAGAAATTAGGGTTGGTCCAGGGCTCCGGGATAAGGATTGACTGATACTGAAGGGCATTGGTCTAGCTCCGGGTTCAGTTGTCGGAGTATTGGGTTTAGACACGGATGAGTTTACGGAGAGTTTTGAAAGAGACTGGGACGGGTTGGAGCAGGAGGTTTTCCTCAATCTAATGCTGCTGTGTGGGGAGTAATCATCCATGCAAATATTGTTTCGCAAACTTTGCAAGGATTCTTTATTCTTATCCGACATGTTGAGATTCTGTGAGACATCCCGCGTCGGATTTTTATCGAAACTGGTTTGTGCAGAGTACATACTCTGCAGCGAGGGGGCGTGCTCTGCTTGAACGTTCTGCATTGACCTGTAGTTGGTCTGCATGCTCTGCAAAGACGGGTTGTCCTGGGGTATCGGGAAGTTGACGGTATGATTGTGGTTCTCTATGATTCTAAGCTGCTCGCTGCTCGTCAAATCTCTTTTACGGATTGAGGATCTTGGATCTCGTCTTCGTTCTAAACCAGAACTTGTACCTGTGTTAGATCTCTCCAGGTACATGTCGGATTTGTGGAAACTGGTTTTTCTCGGAGGTTCCCGATCCTAAATAAGATACAAAAGTTTTTCAAATATTATTTAATTTTTATTTAAACAGATTTTTTTAATTTTAGATTATAGTGGAACGTTTATAAAAAGTAAATAACAAAAAAATGTTCAAAAATGAACCAAAATCTCAACTAAAGGGAAACTCTAAAATGATATTTCATTTAAGGAAAAGGGGCGTTCCCGGTTAACAACGATATGTTACCGTCGTTTTTCTAGACTTAAATTTTTTTTGTTTTCATTCATGTTCTGCTGTTTGAAATATAATTAGTCGTCTTTATTGTATTGAAACACCCTTTACTTAAATTAAGCCTCCTTACAAGACACGTTCCTTTGACCCATTAGCTTACCTCTGTAACATCTGGGTGAGATGAAGCACGTGGAACAATCATACCGGGGAACGCAAACAACGTTCCCAGGTTTCGGAGGTTTTTATACAATCTTGCACTACAGAATACAGATACACTCATTCAAAAATTAATTTAAAAGCATTCTAGAATTCCAAACATTACTAAAAATGGTTAGTTATCAAATTGAAATTACAACCATAACAATTTCAAATGCAATTCAAATGCATATATTCCTATTTTCAAATCAATTGAAACTTTAAAAAAAAACACAAAATATAATATATTATTTTATGACGGGTTTTGTTTTTGTTTTGTTCAGAACATGCTTCTCATTCTTGAGGAGATGATGTAAAAACACATCGAAATATATTTCCTAATTTGAATTTATGCATTTTACAGATATCAAACACTTTTAACCAATTCGGATTTTTACAGTTTGGGTTTATTCCCATCAATTATCTTACAGAGTGACATAATCCTAAGATATTGTGGGGTTTGAAACATATTTTTATTAGATTTTAAACACCTTGTTTTTTTTAAAACACACATTCAAAGTTAAAATCATTTGATAAATTCAGAATATATATAAAAATTATTTATGAAAGTGAATTGAACTAAAAAAATGGTTTACAGATCAAATCAAGTCAAAAAATCTAGAAAGTTTATTTTCCATCAACAAACCTGCTGAAGAAGTGGGTTGCACAAAAAGGACAGTGGTCGGCGTTAATACCAATACAATGAAGACGACTTATATATTTAAGTTTTGATTTCTAATAAGTTTCTATTTGTTTTCATGCTTATGTGTTTCCATTAGGGTGTCCAGCAAAAAAGGTAAAATCGTTTCGCGAATTTTTCGCGATCATTTCACTTCATTTTCGCATTTCGCGAAAATTCTCGATTTTTCGCGATATTTCACTTCAATCTGTTTCGCAAGAAAATGCGAAAAAGAAAATGCGAAAATTTTGCAAAAAATAATGCGAAAATTTCGCAAAAAAATAATGCGAAAATTTCGCGAAAAAATATTGCAAAAATCTAGTGTAAAAATGCGAAAATTTCGCGCAATAAACGGAAGTTATCTAAAAAACACGAAAATTTCGCGAAAAATACAGAATATTAAAAAAAAATGCAAAAATAAAACATTTATTAAAATTAAGGAAGAAGAATTATCTATATGTCATAATAAAATTCAAATATTTTTCGCGAAAAAATGCGAAATTTCGCGAAAAAAATTGCGAAATGCGACCGCAAACTTTTCACAATTTTTTGCATTTTTTCGCATTTTTTCCTGAAACGTTTCGTCCGCTGGAAACCCTAGTTTCCATACTGTCATGAAAGCTTGGTAGAAATCGAAATTGAAATATATTCTCATTATATTGATATATATTCTCATTATATTGATATATATTCTCATTATATTGATATATATGACGACGACTGTACCTGAACCAACTGTAACTAGCTCAACATACTTCTTATTCATTCATAATTTCTCATCTCCGACTCGATCAACATAAAAACTAATGATATCTCTGTTCCTTGGGTCGGAGAGATCAAAGGAGTCCACGCTCTCCTTGGTGGAGATTGCGTTAACGAAGGCGTTGACCGTTTTGGTGTCAATATCCAGGTTGTCTCTGTTGGGGACCAGGTTCGGGTTCTTCCCTATCTTGTTCAACCTGGAGTAAACAGGACCAATTGAATCAAATTAAACTGTTTTTTGCATTGGCTTTGCATTTCTTTGCATTGTCTTTGCATATGTCTTTGCATTGTCTTTTCACAGTCTTTGCATGTCTTCGCATTGTTTTTACATGTCTTAGTATTGTGAAGACTTTTAAGTTTAATTTAACAAACTTTAAGATGACTGAAAAAAAATTCCAGCCATGGTCAAAACTCAGTTCAACAATTTCAATACGTTTTCGATTTCATATCATCAAGAAGTAAAAATTGGTGTTTCTGGGCGGGGCGAGTTGCAGTAGGTTTCTTTACTTGTTCGTCTATGATTCTGCAATCTTTAAACATGGAGTTTTTTTCTACTTTTTCGTTTATTGCGCATATGCCGACAAATAGAAGAAAAAAGAAAAGTCTAAAAATTCTATTTAATTGGTCAAATAATTGTGATCGAAAGTCCAAAAGTAGCAACACTAACCCGCTTATACATTTTTGTAGCCCTTGATATGTCACATTTACGACCCATGAGCATTTGTTTTTGGTTTTATGTATTTGAAAAGTAATTGGTAAATAATGCAACCTTTTTGGATCCCTGTGCCGTATAAATATAAATTTATAAATTAGGTTCTTTTTAAACCTAATTCCATAGAAAATTGTAAACATAGAACTAGAAGTTGTGAAACAAGCAGAAGAAAACATTGATGATTAAATTAAAGTTCAAATTTTGGGATTCAAATAACATTATAAAGTTTTGTTGTGATCCATTTCTTGAGGACGAAATTCAATTTAAAATCTAGAATTCTAAAAGATCTAACACAATTTGTACTAAATTAATTTTTGGCAACAAAAATGTTCTCTCTGTCAAGATTTTAAGATATGTTTCATTCTAACGGGTTTAATCTACAGTGGTTGCCAATTTCATTAGATATAACGTCCAATTAGTATAAAATAAAAGAAATTATCATGATTCCACTGCATTTTGAATACCACTGTAACAAAATCTTTTCTTATTACTTGTTATGAGTGACTGTTTAGTTCTTAAAAAAGAATCATACAAAAATTTTGTCTTGGCATTTTCAAAACAGGTGTGTTTGGTATTTTCCAAAAGGCATTTTCCCAAGGACAACTTCCCAAATGACAATTTTCCAAATGTACATTTTCCCAAAGGTTAGATTAGGTATTCTGAGGCGCCGCAGGCTGCAAAGGGGCCCAGCGCTGCGGCTAGGATAGGATCGGATGCCGAGTTTTAGGACATACTTGAAATGTTGCCGCTTGGGAAATTGCTCATTTGGGAAGTTGCTATTAGGGAAAATACTCTTGAGAAGTTTCCGCTTGGGAAAAAGCCTTTGGGAAAGTACCTAACATCGTGTTTTTGTATCATAGAATTTCTCCAAAATTCAAAAAAAAATTAAGAAAATGACAAAATTGAATTAGTTATAATCACTGGAATATTAGTTTTAATAAATTTAAATTCATGAATTAATTATTAACAAGATTAATTAATCCAATTAGAACATTGTAGACCAGAAGGATCGAGTTTAATTAAAACAATTAAAAGGGACATTTCCCGAAAGTAGAAAGTGTGTCTGAGCTGTAAAGTTATATTTTTATCGAAGGGTTTGTTTCCTTAATTTCATTGCCACCACTAAGAAAATTTTTCGGCAACAACTAATACCGGGCTAACTTTGAATTGTCGCCTTTTTTGTACCGACGTTTTCATGAGGTCAGCTGAATTATACCAAGGTTATAATACAAGGAAAGTTTAATGCAGTTGCGTATACTCTGCGTACATATTGAAACCAGTTCTCTCTGGGCAGAATTTGTAAACAAGAATAGATTTATCAGTGTTCGTATAGTGGCCGAGGAGGTCAAAAGCATAAATTTTGATAATTTAGATAATTCACATAATAGTTTCCTATGACCAGAATATTTCATTGATTTTGTATGTGAAAGATGGATCCCATGTCAGGCTGTGACATCCGTCTTGTGTTTACATTACCGTCCAGAGACAGTACAATGCAGTACAAAAGATGCGCACCCCTCTGAAATAACTTTCCTTGCATTATAATATTGAATTATACGTTGTTTTGACATCCATAAATGAAGTAAGAGCACAGGTGTACTTGAGTACAAGCGGATCAGGTAGATATAGAGTTTAAACACATTTATCACATAGAGGCGCTAGTTTGTGTTGAATCAGCTAAAACCCGGTATATAAGAAAGCAATCTAAATCCTTTTTTCTCTAAGTTATCTACAGACTCCTCAGTGGCCTCTACGGTGGAATATTTAATTAAATGTACATGTTGAAGTATACAGATCAAACGCAAAGGCAGAGAATGGAGGTAACTGTAAGGGGAAGGATGAGGGGGGGGGGTGCAAACTCTTTATATCTATTATTATCTTATGTTTATTACCTCTCAGCGGCAACGCTCTCCATGGTTCTGCGCATGAGTGGATAGGTTTCCAGAACAGCGTCAAAATGATCAACAGAGAGAGAGAACACGTTGCAGTACGTTTCAGCGCGCACACTTGCCGTTCGGCGCGCATTAGTGAGCAAGCAAATCTCTCCGAAGTACGAACCATCGGAGAGGGAGGTTGCAACTTCTCCATTGCTGGTTACAATGTCGACTATTCCTTCCTAAACACAATTTGAAGATTAAAAGGACTGTAAGCGTAATTTCAAGTAGTCCTGTAATTATTTGAAACCTTTATCAAATCAGTAATGTCGTTGGAAAAGTGTTTAATTCTAAAAAGTTCTGTAAAGGAATTGAGTCTTTGGAACAAAATCAAATATTTAAACCACAAAATCTTTAGAACTCGATTTTGTAAAACTTTGATATTTCAAACTTAGATTATTTGATCTAACAGAATTCATAGTTTGAAATATCTAAGGTATGCAACATTTGGTTCCAAAGATATAGTGATTAGAAAATCAGAGTTTGTGGCAAAGACTCAATTCCTTTTCCTTTTGCAGAAAAACCACTATGGATAAAGGAAACCCCAGTTGAAAATATTCAGTTTTTAAGATTTTAAACCTTGACAAGTAATTTAAAACTGATCAGAACAGGCTTTTTAGTATACCGTTATTAATTAGAAATTGTCATTTCAACCTATTCATCATTAGATGGATATCTTTTAACAGATTGTGGGGCCTTTACAATTTACAATATTTATGGGCAAAAAAAAATAAAATTTTCGATTCTGAAAAAAATATGCTGTTTTACGAAGGATGCTCTTTTTGAAAATTGGGGGGGGGAGGGTTGTGATTATAGAGAATAGAATATATAGAGAGGAATTTCCTAGAAAAAAGTGGAAAACGACCATTTTGTTGTACTGTTTCCATACTGCAGGTGTACTTCACATATTTGTGCTATATAACCTGTTGGGCCCTGGAATATCATTTTATAGCAAATCTAAAATTATTGTTAAAAGAAAACCAAATTATGAAATAGGCTGGTTTCATAATTGACCAATGATCATTTCACATAGACTCTATGCCTTCCACTTTACAAACGATGATTTTCCGTTATAACTATAAATCAAATGATGTTTTTATTCACCTAATTCATTATAAAGTTTATTTAACAGTTTAAAAAATTCGAAATTGAAATGAATAGTCTAGGGAACATACTGTATTAATGTACTCTACTGCATATAATTTGTGAACCTTTACATGATTTGTACACTTTGAACTCCCTTTCAGGCTGAAAGGGACTGAAAAAATTCATACCGAGAGATTCTTTAAATTCCTCTCTATATATTCTATTCTCTATGGTTGTGATGTTGTCTTGACTTTTTAATTGATATTCATAAAAAAAGAAATACACAATAAGTTAAGTTTTTTACCTGGATAAAATACATTTTATTTCCAACACAGCCTTCCTTGATGATCCAGTCTCCTAAACAGGGAAATTATTAATTCATACTTTACATACATTCAGAAAACTTTGGAAAAGAAAGATGCCAATTAGACTCTCAATTAGACTCTCAATTAGACTCTCAATTTGCAAGACTCCAGTGTACGGAGACCCAGTTCGTGCTATTTGCTCTATACATGAAAACATTAAATATACTAAATTTCGTGTTCCAGTTTCTCTGATGACAATAGTAATGGAAAATGTAGAACTTTGCCACAAGCTCAAACTTTCTAATCCCTATATCTTTGCAATCTGATGGTGTGAACCATTGATATTTCAAACTTGATCTAGCAGAATTTATAGTTTGACATATCAAAGGTCTTTGACTTTTTGTTGCAAAGATAAGGGCATTAGAAAATCAGAGTGTTTCTTTTTTGAGGGGGGAGTCTACTTGTAGTTTGAGACTATTCATGGAAAAGTTTAAGCCAATGAAATTCTAGATTTTCGCGTCGCACATGTGATTTTCATCATTTGTTGCTGTTTTTGCCTTTTGAATTTACGCTTTTAACATCCCCCCATCACCCAAACCCCCACAAAAGGAGAAATTTTGGTGAATTAAACCACAAGAGGTTTTAAAATATTGTTTGTATTTTGCAAAGGTCATAATTGTTGTATTTTAGATCCCTTAAAAAGGCACAAATCCTTGATCTTTATGATCAACTTATGTCATATTAAATTTATTAATATTAATTCGGATATACAGGGTTGCCCAGAAAAGATAAGCCTATAAAGACGACCTGAAACTCTTTGAATATGACAATTCTTTTCCGTTAAGAACAGTCTTTCAATGGCTTATACAATGATTTGGCAAATAAAGAAAAAGAATCGTGAATATAAGACAGCGGACAATACAAATCGTCTCTGAAGTCTCATCCTTTGTGGGTAACCCTAGTCAGGAGCTAGAAAAAAATCAACAAATGACAGATAATTCACAAAAATCGGGAATTAGATGTTCTTTCTAGATTAAGCAATTCTTATTGTTTAAACGTTTTTGTTCTTTTTTCCAAAATCATCCGTTAGCATGTCACTTTCTCACAGACAAGTTTTTGATCTGTATGGGATGTTTTGAACCGATGAAATATTCTCGTCATGTTGGGAGAAATACTTTAAATTCATCTTGAATAATTCTTCCCGGTTCTTTCCGTGTAAATTCTAGACTATTTTCTTTCTTAAATCTCTTCTTTTATGAGAGAAATGAACGTATTTGCACCCCCTCACAACACTTTAATAACAAAAAAGAACAAATATACAGGGATATCCACAATCAATGAAGCTTTAACGAATTGCATACAGAATTGTACGAATTTGCAGCAAACCAGAACTTAGGGATGCCCAATTCTTAAAACTAAGAGATTTTCTTCTCAGCAGGGATTACAATTATTAGATCGACCCCCACCCCAACTCAATATTCACACATCTACACAGTTTGTTTTTAATCTTTGTGAAGAAACAATCTCAAGGAATAATAATTGTCTAAAAACATTTTTTTAGAAAGTGAATATTTGCAAATTATCTTTTTCCCATCTCATAATCTGAATTCTTTTTCAAACAAAGAAGTTGATTAGTTTGAAACAAATTCTAATTTTCTGATCCTTAGATCTTTGCAACCTGATGGAATGGATCGTAGACCTTTAACATTTTAAACTCTGAATTCTGCAAGACCAAATAATCAATGTTAGAAATAACTTAATGTTTAAGGGTTTGTAGATATAAGGATAAAAAATAAGAATTTGAGACAGTGTGCTCAGTTCCTTAAAACAAAACAAAGCAAACCCTATTTTTTTTGTAAAATTTTGTCTCAAAAATATGACTTTAAAAAAACAGTTTTAATAAGAAATGTTGCTCCGAATAAATGGGGGAGAGGGAGGGGACTCTAATTATCTTCAGCAAAATTGATGTTAGATAATGAACGAGGAAGATTTTCTCTAATGGCCAACATAAAATCGACTGTAAAAGTACTAGGGAACTCGGAGAGTATCCATTTTCAGGGGAAAGAAAATTATAAAAGATGAGAAAAAAAAATAAATACGTATCCAGCTTTTAAACCTTTATATAAGTAATAATCAGAAAGCTGTCCTCATGAAATTCTGTCAACTTTTGTCTGCTGCATTAATCAGAGAAACCACATATTATCAAGTTTCAGACCGAAAAACAAAGATATCTCGAAAATGTATCATAGCCTTATCTCACTAAAACCAATGGCCCTTCGGAAATTCCGTAAATTGGCCTTCCATGATCAGATAAACAGGGTTACCCACAAAGTTTAAAACTTCAAAGACGATTGTCCTGAATTTAAACTTTCCTGCAAATGTTACTGGTTTCTTTTTTGCCAAATAATTGTATTGTGGCGGAAGACGATCTGAGGAGAGAAGCCGGATACTCAGACGCGGCAAGAGGAACTTTATCTCTGCCACGTCACCTTGATATTTTTTGATCTCTTAAATTTAGATTTTTAATTTAGTTAGTTAATAAAGTAAATTATTTAACTTCGGTCGTATTAAATTGAGCGTAGCCAAATTGGTGGCCCCGAGTTTTTCGATCTTATAGACTGTTCGTTCAACACTATAAACTGTTTTAAAGCTACTCGCTCAAGTGACTATGCCGAAGGACGGTGATAATGTCCAGGTCCGAGCTGAACCCAGCTCTCTAGACCTTCTAAATACGGTATCAGTGAAAGTTCCGGCCTTTTGGCCTGAGTCTGCGGAGGCCTGGTTCATACAAGTCGAGGCCCAGTTTGCTCTCAAGGGAGTGACGACTCTGTGGCGGAAGACGATCTGAGGAGAGAAGCCGGATACTCAGACGCGGCAAGAGGAACTTTATCTCTGCCACGTCACCTTGATATTTTTTGATCTGTTAAATTTAGATTTTTAATTTAGTTAGTTAATAAAGTAAATTATTTAACTTCGGTCGTATTAAATTGAGCGTAGCCAAAGTATTTACAAATAAAATACAATAATTAATGCTAAATTAACCTTAATCTCTTTATATTTGTAGAGATTCAGGTCGTCATAAGTCTCATGTTTTGAAGGTAACCCTGTACGGTATATAGTGCATGCGTTGCATTCCTTCAATGCAATCCTGTAACCTGGATGCCGGGAGATGCCGCAAACCAATTTGGGTTTATATCCCTCTAAACCTAGTTCTGGATAGAGGAGGGCATCATTCTTTTATTCAATTGGATCATTTAATATTTTCAGCGGTTTAGAGGCTCTAAAGAATCAGACTTTTTATCAAGTAACATTTATTTAAAAAGAGGTATGCACGTTACACAAAACACTTTTAAAATTGATCATTTCTAATTGCGGTTTCTCTATAAAAATACCCTCCAGATTTCATAAGCAGAGACAAAGAAAGAACAGAATCTATATAAGTTCATCACTTTTTTGGATGGAAAAACTACAAAAAATTTCCACGTTGTTGCTCAGGAAATGTTTCAAAGGGTACCATTGGTACTTGGACATGTACCTCTATATATATGTTATCAGGTCATTCATTAAAAAAATGCCTAAAATATATGTCCTTCTCTAGTTCTTGACGAGTTTGTTAGATCAAGATCTTTTTCATTGATTAACTTTCAGCAGTTCCACAGTTTCAGGATATACTTTTAGTTTAAACTGTCNGCCAGTGGCAAGTAGATATTTAACCATGTATTTAACCTAGATTTAGAATCTTGATATTGAGAGCTCGAGAGACTTAAAGCCTGGATATTAAACCTAAACATGGAGAGATCAAAACCTGGATGTAAGCCTAAACATGGAGAGATCAAAACCTGGATGTAAACCTAAACATGGAGAGATTCAAAACATAGATATTGACCTAAACATAAAGAGATTCAAAGCCTAAATATAAAACCTAAACATAGAGAGATTCAAAACCTGGATTTAAACCTAAATATGGAGAGGTTCAAAACCTGAATATAAAACCTAAACAAGAAGAGATTAAAAACCTGGATATAAGCTTAAGCAGGGAGGGATTCAAAACCTGAATAAAGAACATAAAACATGGAGAGATTCAAGACCTGGATATAAACCTAAATATGGAAAGGTTCAAAACCTGTACATAGAACCTAAACAAGAAGGGATTAAAAACCTGGTTAAAAGCCTAAGCCGGGAGGGATTCAAAACCTGGATAAAAACATAAATTATGGAGAGATTCAAGACCTGGATATAAACCTAAACATGAAGATATTCAAAACCTGGATATAAGCCTAAGCAGGGAGGGATTCAAAACCTGAATAAGAAACATAAAACATAGAGAGATTCAAGACCTGGATATAAACCTAAACATGAAGATATTCAAAACCTGAATATAAAACCTAAACATGGAGAGATTCAAAACCTGGATATAAAACCTAAACATGGAGAGATTCAAAACCTGTATATAAAACCTAAACATGGAGAGATTCAAAACCTGTATATAAAACCTAAACATGGAGAGATTCAAGACCTGGATATAAATCTAAACAATGAGAGATTTAAACCTGGATATAAATCTAAACATGGAGAGGTTCAAAACCTGGATATTAAAGTAAACTTGAAGAGAATTTAAACCTGGATAAAAAACCTAAACAAGAAGAATTCAAAACCTGGCTATAAACCTAAACATGGAGAGATTCAAAACCTGTATATAAACCTAAACATGGAGAGATAAAAACCTGGATATAAAATCTAAACATGGAGAGAACAAAACCTGGATATAAAATCCAAACATGGAGAGATCAAAACCTGGATATAAACTTAAACATGGAGAGATCAAAACCTGAATATAAACTTGAACATGGAGAGATTCAAAACCTGGATATAAAATCTAAACATGGAGAGATCAAAACCTGGATATAAACCAAAACATTGAGAGATCAAAACCTGGATATAAAATATCTAAACATGAAGAGATCAAAACCTGGATATAAACTTAAACATGGAGAGATTCAAAACCTGAATATAAAATCTAAACATGGAGAGATTCAAAACCTGGATATAAAATCTAAACATGGAGAGATCAAAACCTGGATGTAAACCTAAACATGGAGAGATTCAAAACATAGATATTGACCTAACCATAAAGAGATTCAAAGTCTAAATATAACACCTAAACATAGAGAGATTCAAAACCTGGATATAAGCCTAAGCAGGGAGAGATTCAAACCTGAATATAAAACCTAAGCATGGAGAGATTCGAAACATGGATATAAACCTAAACATGAAGATATTCAAAACCTGGATATTAAACTTAAACATAAAGAGATTCAAAACCTAGATTTCGACCTAAACAAAAAGAGATTCAAAGCCTGATTATAACACCTAAATATGGAGAGGTTCAAAACTTAAATATAAAACATAAACATGGAGAGATTCAAAACCTGGATGTAAAACCTAAACATGTAGAGATTCAAAACCTGGATGTAAAACCTAAACATGGAGAGATTCAAAGCCTGAATATAAAACCTAAACATGGAGAGATTCAAAACCTGAATATAAAACCTAAACATGGAGAGGTTCTAAACCTGAATATAAAACCTAAAAATGGAGAGATTCAAAACCTGGATGTAAAACCTAAACATGGAGAGATTCGAAACATGGATATAAACCTAAACATGAAGATATTCAAAACCTGGATATAAAACATAAACATGGAGAGATTCAAAACATAAATTCAAAACCTAAAGATTTAAGATAACAGTTTCAAAATCCATTGATTTCAAAACTATAAAATACAAAACCTATTGAATACACAAGCAAAGCCTGCAAAAAAAAACCAATATTTTAAATGTAAAATTTTTTTTTATCGAATTTTCTAACAAAGTTTTACAGAGTTTATATTTACCCCTGAAGGAAGGCGCCAGGTGCTCAAGATATTAATGAAAGAAAAGTTTTCAAAGCAAAAATTCAAAATTTCGTGAGAAAAGGAATTCTTCCCTTTGACTAACAGAAAGAAGGGGAAGGGTGGGGAGCTTCAGGGAGGGGGGAAGGGGAAGGAGAAGGGGTGTAAAGGGAAGGGGAAAGGAAGGAAACGGGAAGGGAAAGGGAAGGGAAAGTGAAGGGAAAGGGAATGGAAAGGGAAGGGAAAGGGATGGGAAAAGGAAGGGAAAGAGAAGGGAAAGGAAAAGGGAAGTGAAAGGAAAAGGGAAGGGAAAAGAAAGGGGAAGGGAAGGGAAACGGAAGGGAAAGGGAAGGGAAAGGGAAGGGAAAGGGAAGGGAAAGAGAATGGAAAGGGAATGGAAAGGGAAAGGAAAGGAAAATGAAGGGAAAGGAAGGAAAATGATAGGGTAAGGGAAGAGAAAGGGAAAGAGAAGGGAAAGAGAAGGGTAAGGAAAGGGTCAAGGGGAAAAACTATGAAAACAATTAAAAAGATTTAATAAAACTTCAAAGAGAAATAAATCTGAAAATACAGTCTCATAAAAAGAAGTATAAACTGTTTGTACTTTTTAAAATAAAAAACAAATCATTAAAAACATCGAAATGAAAACCAAGTAATATTAATATAATTAGGAAGAGATTTGTTCAGTGAATAGTAAATAACAACTGTAACAGTTTTGTTCATGGAATAGGAAATAGCAATTGTAACAGTTTTGTTCAAGGAATAGGAAATAGCAATTGTAACAGTTTTGTTTAAGGAATAGGAAAATAACAACTGTAACAATTTTGTTTAAGGAATAGGAAAATAACAACTGTAACAGTTTTGTTTAAGGAATAGGAAATTACGACTTTAACAGTTTTGTTTAAGGAATAGGAAAATAACAACTGTGACAGTTTTGGAATAGGAAAAAAATCGGAATAGTGCTGTTTAATGAATAGGAAAATATTTAAAACTTTTCCATTTCCATGAAAAATTGATCAATACAAGATTTCAATTTGATTGTGCTAAGCTTTAAATTTGAAGAAAATGTCACAGAAGTATTTACGAAAGGTTTTTTCAAAGTTCAGATTCATGTTTTCTTGGAATAGATTCTAGTTTGAACGATCTTTTTTAATACATTTCTTTACCCCTTCCCCTCCCCACACAAAACATTAATTAAGAAGATAAAGGTCGAAATAAAGCCAACCCAATAGTTTTGAGGAAGTTTTCCATATCAAGAGTTTTACAAATTTTATCAGAAAAAAATTAAGATTTCATGAATACTTCTAAAATGAACGTTGTTGCATACTAAATGTCCTTTGATTCAAATGTAATTTGTTAGAAAATTAAAATTGAAAATTATTCAGATTTGAATTATTTAATTCGTGCAAAGAAACATTTGAACTTTGTTAGAACTAAAATCGGACCAAGGACATATTAGAAGGACATATTGTCTCATTTGTTTTTGATAATAAAAAAAGAAAATCTCAAAACAAAAACTTATTTCTTTTTTAAGTACCTGTAATCGTAATTTCAAGACATTTAGTCCGATTTACAAAGGTACCGTTGAAAGCTTTGTTTAACCAAGGATAAAATAGATATGTTTTGTTTTGGAAAACTGTTCATTTTCAGCAATGGAGAAATGACACTTTTCGAGTCAGAAAAACGACGGTTTCTTCCACATTTTTAATCAGATTAGGGTTTAAAAGATACAGCTGTAACTCGGGCATTGCCAATTTTGTCTGGTGGGTCCCATAAAATTCAAAATCAAACCTTTCACCCTAACAAGTGTTTGTTATATCGAATAACAGAAAAATATTAGGAACGTTTTCATTAATTTTCTCATTATTGTTAATTTTAAAAAACTTCTGTGGACTTAATTCACTTTAATTGATTGAAAAAGTAGTGTGTTAGATCCACAAACGAACGTTACCTTAAAACCTTTAACAGAGTAACAATGATTTATCGTATTAAAGGGACTGTAAAGGAAAAATGAAAGAGGGTATAGGATAAAACCTGAGAATTTCAGGCTTTGAACGATACCTTTAAGACATCTATCATATGTTCCTGTTTCAAGAAATTGACATAAAACTGTGTCAAAATTATACCAAAAAATGTCAGATTTTGTATAAAAGGTGTAGCATTAAACAGATCATATTCAACAATTGCGTAACCAATCTGAAAACGACTATATCTCACAGTCTCTTTAAACGTGTCGTATCATTACAATCCCCGTAATTGCCTTCGCACCGTAAATCTGAAAGTAACTTTTAAACCACACATGAAAAACGTCAATTTTTAGTTGCAAATATTAGGGTTAACTCTTTCATCCTTGATCAGACAAAGAATTCAGGGGTACCGGTGGGAATCAAACATGTCAACAGTCGCTCTAACCATATTTTCCAGTATGTAAACTAACCTGGCTGAAAAACCTCGTATTTGAGTTTACAAACAACATCAGAAACAAAGGAAGGTTCAGCATTGGTAAAAAATGGAACAGATGCAACCAGAGCTCGGCAATTGTAGTTTATAACATCCTAAAATAGTTGTTATTCTTTTATTATCATTCTTTTTGCATCAGCTGTTTTTATTTTATCTTTTGAATTTGTGAGATTGGCATTTGGATATATTGAATTCAGATTTTCCATTGATATTCTCATTTTAAAATGGACTAGAAGAGAAAGAGAAAATAAATATACAAAAGAATTCTTCCAATGACAATTAAAGACTTTCCACATCATATATTCTGTCAGCAATTCTTTAATCTAGGAAATATTTATTCACAATCATCAGTACAGTACAGTACAGTACAGTACAGTACAGTACAGTACAGTACAGTACAGTACAGTACAGTACAGTACAGTACAGTACAGTACAGTAAAGTACAGTACGGTACAGTACAGTACAGTACAGTAAAGTAAAGCACAGTACAGTAAACAACTATTAAACTAAGTTCACCTCTCTCAACTTCTCTGACAGTTCCCCTAGTATAGCGTCTTCATCAAAGAATTTCCCCTGAAAATTAAAACTTTATAAATTGAAGGAAATTCTACTAATTGTTCAAGTGCACAACTAAACGAAAGAAAGCAATTATAAGAATTGTTTTCATTTAATCTTTAATTAACATATTTAAAATATTCGGTTTTATTTATAAATAAATATGCCTCTCAGTATCCCAGCTGTATCCCCCTAAATCTCCCTGTATTCTCCTGTACCCCTTGTTCCCTCTGCATCCCCTCTATCTCCTGTATCGGCCCCTGCATTCCATGTTCCTTCTGTATCTACCTGTATACCATTATATACCCCTGTATCCCCCTGTGTCCCCCTGTATTCTCAATATAATATCCCCCTGTATCCCTATGTATACCCATGTATCCCTGTATCCCTGTATTCTTGCTGTGGTCTTAACAATTGTGTAGATTTTTATTTAGGAGCTATTCGAAAAAATGAAGAATATGAAGCAACTAATTATAAAATTTTATTTTATAACAAAAATGCTGATTTCAACAAAGCGGCAACTCGATTCGGGAAAACCTGGGTTCCAAAACTGGTTTTAAAAATGATACCAGCTATCGTTAATGTTGTGCTCTGTATCCCCTGTATTGGTAATTTGGATCCGTTCTACTGCCCATCCGTCCATTGCCATAGATAAGATAGATCGCGCATAAGACGACATTTTTCATCTTGAAAGATATAAATGTACAGAGATGTTTTAAAGATATTCATATTATATAGATTACCTAGGTCGGTTGTGAACATTGGCTGTTCTTAGCTTATGTCATTGAGTACTTGTGGTGTACATGAGTTCTGTAGAGAGAAATTAAAGTTAGTTTAGTCCGTCTCATGTCCTTCTTCAGTTCTCATCAATATGATATATTGCTCAGTGAAATATTGTTGTTCAAATAGTTCCATTCCCGGAGTTATTTTACACTCAATTATGAAATCCATTAAAACACCAAACCACCCCGCTTATCATTGAAGTACACTTTGACCCCTGGAAGTATGAGTTCGCGGACTGTACAATCCTTGGTGATTTTGCGTACATAAGCTATCTATGTTTATTTATTTATCTATTTCCATTGCCTATCCACTATACTGCACATCCGACCTACTGCAACATCCGATCTACGATAGCTATTTATTTTTGTATTATTTGAAGGTTAGGTATAAGGTTAAAAGAAATTATGGGCCGAGCGCTGCGGCTAGTACGGGCTAAGGGGCCGAGCGCCGAGGCTAGGGGGCCGGGCGCCGCGGCCAGAAGTCCGTCTAGCAGCTGTAAAATCAGTAGGACGGATGGGCGTAGGTCCAGAAATACACCATCCCCTGTATTATATATTAAGGGAACACAAAGTTAGAATTGATGATCAAGCAAAGTAGAGCTCTTATCTGTGAGCTTATTTTCTCTTTTTTTTATTATTCTAATCAATATTTTCAAATCAATTATGAATTTCATTTATACAATTTACTTCCGTTACTTTCTGTTTCCTGATCCTAATCTGACAGATTTTTTTTCACAGATCCCTCAAATCCTCTCTCAGAGCCAGAGCTGCTGACTCCGATTGGGTTTCTCATCTTCCTCTAGTTTTGTTGGGACTCCGTTCAGTTCCCAAAGAAGATACTGGTTTTTCTGTTTCAGAGGCGGTATATGGTTCTCCCCTGTCAATTCCTGGTGAATTCCTAGATGCCCCAGAAATTCCAAGTTCACAATTTATCAGCAAAGTAGAGAAGGTAATTGCAGGTTTTTCAACCCCTCCGCCTCATCACGTGCAACATTCGCCTCCAGTTGAGATTCCTGCAGCTCTGAAAGCAGCCAAGTTTGTGTTTGTTCGAGAAGATGCCAGCAAACCCTCACTCAGTCCTCTTTACCGTGGTCCCTACCAAGTTATAGAACGGCGGAGTAAATTCTTCCGCCTCCAGATTGGTACCAAAGTGGATTCAGTCTCTGTAGACCGGCTTAAACCAGTGGTATCTGATGTTCCAGTGATCCCTGTAACTCCTCCGCCTCGAGGTCGCCCTCCTCTTCGCCAGTCAAAGGATCCTCCAGACCTTTCCTCCGCCGCGAAGTCGTCCGCCTCAAAGAAGAAGTCTGTTATGTTTTTAAACCAACCTATAGTCATACCAAGAAGAAATCCTCACAGACAAGTCAGGAAGAAGTCTTAGCTCCGCCTTGACTCCGCCTTGCCTTCTTGGGGGGAGTACTGTGGCGGAAGACGATCTGAGGAGAGAAGCCGGATACTCAGACGCGGCAAGATGAACTCTATTTTTCTGCCACGTCACCTTGATATATTTTGATCTCTTAAATTTAGATTTTTAATTTAGTCAGTTAATAAAGTAAATTATTTAACTTCGGTTTTATTAAATTGAGCGTAGCCAAAACAGAAGCATTAACAAATCTTGTTAATTTAATAATATTTTCAAGAAAAATTAAATATCTACATATGTGATGAAGAGGAACACATTACAAGAAGTTTAGAATCAATCCATCTTAACCTTTGAACGAATAAATAGTAATAGCACAACCCGAAATAAATTAAACGCAAATAAAGTTTTTGTTATTCTAAAGAATCATGTGATTCAGTGATGTTTCACTTCGGTCATATGCTCCTTGGCAACTTCCTTAAGGCCTGCTTCACCATCCTCACCCTCAAAATCATTTGGTAGCAGAACAGGTCCAAGTGCCAAGATGAGTATAGCTCCTATGGGTGCGCTAATTGCGATAGATAGTACAGCCAGCGTAAGAATTGTCTCTCCCATCTATAAAAATTATATTTTCAAAAATAATAAATTGTTAAATAAAGAAATTATATTTAAACTGAGATCAGAACTTTTATGTAGATATTATTAATTTTGAACGCTCGACCTTGATATCCAAGGTAGGCAGTTTTAAATTTAAAAATCAATGCTTTATTTCTCAATTAAAGTTGTCTCTGTAAAGCTAAAATGATCCATATATCTGCATAAGATGGAGATTAATGCTTGATCTCAAGATTACAATAAAAAAGTTCTGACATCAGAGGAAACTATAAGATTAAATGCTCTAAACGTTTTTAAAAAATCTTACAGGTATATACTCTGTGATTCCTGCATAAATAGCTTTTTCCAAAAACACTGGACCTGAAAAAATAAAGAAGTAAACCAAACAGAAAGAATCAATGAAATAATGAATGTGGAGTAAAAAGATTATTACACACCTAATGCTGCTTGAACAGTTGCCTTAGGAAGCCAGGAAATTGAAAGAAACAACTTTTCTTTTGTTTCTAATCCTCCACAAACAGCTGACCAAAAGGTGAAGAAAGATCTGGTTATAAAGCAACAGAAAAGTACAGCAACACCCAATCCTACAGTTGCCCCGTCCATCTTTTCTGCGTTGATATTGGTTCCGATGAGTGAGAAGATAACTGGAGACAAGATAATCCAAACCTTGTTATAGATATCTGTAACAGGGTTATGATCTCCCCATCCTTCTCTTCTCCACTGAATAGAGGCAACAAATGCCATGATCACACAAGCCAGACCTCCAGCTCCATCATAATGGACCATATGAGCTCCAAACAGAGCAAACAGACCTCCAGCTGTCAGTAAGACCCACCTGAAGAAGACATGGTTTGCATTCTGCTTGCTTGGAAACCATTGGCAGATGTATCCCCAGAATATTCCAAATGCAATCCCCAAGAGCACTTCAAGAGGTCCATGGCTGGCAAGATCAGATATTGATGCATCAGGATTAAAAGTAATTCCAGCAGCTATTCCAAATCCTCCAATAGCCACAAGATCATCAGCAGAACATGTTGCAATAACCAGTGTTGGTATTCCCTTCTTTACTCCGTATCCTCTCTGACTAAGATTCACCAATCCTGGAATAATAACAGCTGGAGATACTCCGCAGAGAACAAATCCAAAGCATAGTCCAGGAAGAAAGGGAAATCCAAGGATCAGATAACAAAATAGGGCTGCTGCAAATGCCTCTACTATGCAAGGTATGAAGGTAGTTCTGAGTACAATCCATTTAAGTCTCCAGAGTTGAGGAGGATCCAATTCAAGACCTGCCATCAGAAGAATAACAGTTAGACATGTAGATCTCAAAATTCCTTTAACAGTTGGATCTACATCACCTCCAATAAATCTCTTAACACAAGGATCACGGTATACAGCAGGTTCATCATGACCTCCACTTCGTCTTGCTCTATGATGATGATCATCAGACTCTGGCATTGATTTGATACCTTCTCCATCTAAATGTTCTGAATGTGAAGATTGGGAATCATTTGAAGTTGATGATTTGAAATCTTGGACCTTTGCATGAAATATTCTTGCAGTTGAACTGAATTTAGGATTAACTGTTGTCTTTTCAAGGTGTTCGACTATTCTCTCATGCTCATCCTTCAAGGCATCATGGACATTCATGACAACTCCATGTGCATTTGGGTCATCATGTCCAGTCAGAGCACTGATATTTCCATGAAATGCTTCATGAATAGTACCTTGGGTCAATGATCTGTTTAAACATTCTGGGCTGTTGAATTCATGTGAATTGTATGGAACGTTTTTACAAAAGATTCCAACAGCCATCATTCCAAGTAGTTGGGGGATGCGAATATCAAACCCTGCAAGCTTGGATATCAGTGCTGCAAACTGCAGGACTATCTGTCCAGCTACCAAAGCAAAGAATACTAGAATGAAGACAGCAAAGATTGTCCCCCCTAGAGCAGAATATTTTCCTAAAACTGCTCTTGCACAGAAGAAAATGATAACAACTGCTATCATTAGAGTTATGTTCGTTGCCACCTCTCCTTTTGGGGGAAAGAAGTGTGAGGTAATCCTATTTGTTTGCAGTGTCTGTTTAAAGCTATCATAAGCTTTCTTGATCCTGCCAGGGTTCTTGATTTTCCCTGGATATGCCGGGGGAGGATATTGAGGGACCTCATCTTCATGCACAGTTGCTGGAGGTATTTGTTGGTATCTACTGTTTCTTCTAGAAGTAAATATATATTATTGAAAATGCATTTCATTGATGTTAAAAATGTTGAAACTGTTTTGTTCAAACAGAGAATATGATTTCGAGTTTTTTTATGTGAAACATGTCCCATCCCTGACATTTCAGAGTTTTGACATATAATTTACCAAAGGGGGTCCCGGCCAAATTTTCCAATTATTAATCCTTTCGCCTGGAATAAATTGTATCCTCCCCTAATCTGTTGTAAATTTGAATCACAGAATAATTTGTATGTCATTTTATTTTCTATTTGTAATTTTTTATCAAACCTGGTTGTTCCATGCATCTCAATGCATTTAAACTGAATCTTCTTTCTCCTTTGTCTTCAGGTACATAACCTTGATTGTCCATGATTGTGGCTCTAAACATCAGATAATACATCGTAGATTGTGAATAAAGAAAAAAAATCCCATTTTATTTTTAAAAGGCTCATTTTGGGCCCATTTAATAAAAGTTTATTTGTGTCAATTTAAAACGACAACATATTTTAGTATGGTTAGTTTAAAATCTAAACTTGGTTTCTTTTATTTAAACTTCATGTCGAAAAAATTGGTGAAAAATGTTTTATAGGTCAAAGTGTGTTTGAAAGTCACAGTTTGGGCAAAGGACCGACCCGTTAAATCACGTGAGTTGCACAGACCTATTGACAACAACCCAAATTGAAATCCAAGATATTGTTGTTGCTAATGACTTTTTATTTTATTGTTTTGGTGCTAATTGTTACTTGCACTTAAGTAACTAATGTGAGTTTGTCCACCGGTTACATGTTAGTTTGGAGGAAAGTTTCAGTTCTTTACTTTTAGATCAAATTTCCATTAGATCAAAAGGTTCATAGATTAGAAATGTTATCTCTGTAAGATCAAGAACCTCTATTTAAAAAAAATATCCGTCTAAGTTTTGTATTGGAACTTTCTGTTTTTACTTCTTGCCAATAAATTTGTCACTACTGTTGAATAATAATCAATAATAAAGAGGGGCACACCTTGTTTTACTGGTATGTGAATAGGAGAACGGTTTGGTCCAAACTGAGAATAGGTCTGTAACAATCTGTATTATTATACGCAATTCAATGCGGTTTGTTCTGGAAAATATTGGTTTTAATATTTTTAATAATATTATAATTTCATATTACTCTGTCAACTCCCCCCATCCCCTTAGAAAAGTTACGCTTATAGTTAATGTAAATATGATGGTTCCAAGCGTTAATTAATAACTTTTTTATTGTGTAAAACTATATTTAAGATTGCTAAAGATTTTCTTGCATTTGAAACTCTAAAAATTGTGAGAGAAGGAGTTGTTGTTCAATAGGACTGAACAATGCAATCCCTTCGACGAGGGGAGGAAGGTCAGCCACAAAAATTTCTAGTCCGAGCCACTTTCTCCTCATTTTCTCGTTCGAGCCACCTCGAATTCCTCGTCCATCCAATAATATTTTTTAACAGTGTCTAGTCCTCAAAGATAAAATTATTCTTTAAGAATCTGACCACGCATGCATGAAATATTGAATTTTAGTAAATCTAAAAAATAGTTTCAATTGAATCAAAGTTTTCGAGTTCAATGTCCTTAAAAATGGTCACCTTTTTACGCGCATTTTCAGATATTCCTGGTGTAGAATGCCGCAAATAATTCCAAGGTTATAGAACTTTAATCTTTTTTTTAATTATAGTGACAACCATAGATTTTTCCGGGTGGTTCCTGGGGAAAATGATAGGCAGCGGTATTGATGCCAAATATTTTGCTATTTATTTTATATCGCGAAGGTTTGCCATAACGGAGGCAGAAGAGTTTTCAGTTTTATCTAAATAAAGTTTGACATCATTCTCATGTCTCTAAAGATTCAAACATGATTTCATCATTGCAATACTTTAGTCTATCCATATGTTATGTCCTAACGTGGCCAGTTTTGTTAAAAATAGTTTTATCTTCATGAATTAGAAACATTAAAACACATAATAATCAAAGGACGAAGATTTAGAGGTGGTTCGAACGAGAAAATGAGGAGAATGTGGCTCCGACGAGAAATTGTTGTGGCTGGCCTTCCTCCCCTCCTGCAACTGATAACTCGAGGTTTACTTTAAATTCCGGCGCGACTTTTACACAGTAAACTGTACACACAGGGTGTCAGTACATTGATGTTGTTCTTCGCTTTAACGATCAATATTTTAATTTAAGTCAACCTTCCATAATCCAATAATGTCTAATTATTCACAATGGTACCCTTACAATCTTTTTGATCAATAATTTAGAAGATATCGTCTTTGGTTTTCTAGCGTGAAAAGTGATTAATTTTTGAACCAAAAATCCTTGGGTCACTTTATAGAGAAGCCAATATTGTGAAAATGATGAATTCTTTATCACACAAAGTTTTAAGAGAACCGTTGTGAATCGAACAAAATGATGGAAAATAACTTGAAGTTTTGTCGCCTAAACTAATTTGGAACTTATTTACATAACTAAGAGCTTTCCAGTCCCCTGACATAGCAATTTGGTCTCCATGTACGTTACCAATATGTGTATTAGCTTATAAAAATACTAGCTTAGGAACCCGGCGCTTCCCAGGTTATTCATAGTTTACCCACACTTGGACGATCTCACCGAGAAACAACCAAATTCTCATTTTTTCTCACATCAGATATGTTTAAATAATCAGACACAGGTTTTAAGGTACTGTTGTGAATTGGGTATTGTCATCTTTGCATGGAGAGTCAATTGAAATTACGGTTAGAGTCCCATGAGGTCTTGATAAAATACTAAACAACGCAATCTGTCAAATTTGAAATGAATTATTATAAACCTGAATGAATTAGATCTAGAGTAATCCCGACCAAACTAGAAAATTAATCAATCTTGTTTCAAATAAAATGATTAATTTGAGAAGGAAAAGTAAAGTAAGTCTTCGCCACAAACTCAAATTGCCCAATCCCTATATTTTTACAACCTGAAGTTAAACTATTTGGTATAACAGAATTCATAGTTTGACAAATCCAAGGTCTGCGACATATGGGTTGCAAAGTATTTAAAAAGATTTTGCATCATTCGTATCATATCCATCAACATAATCGCCTTTCTGTAACAATTTCTATTTGTAAATTTTAATATTAATATTTCAAATTGTTTGTATTAGCCCTGTTACCATATTCTCCAAACATCCAGGTATCTTATTGAATTATAAGATTATTTTTTAGTGGATCTGAGTCCCTAAATTGACTTAACAAGCAGGGGTGTGAATGCAGAATACATATTACACCCTTATTAAAAAGTGTATTTGGTTTGGTAATTATATTGATACTTAAAATGATGGCAATGAAAAATATCTATGGTTAAGGAGATGAGTTGTTGCCACAAACTCTACATTTTGAAACCCTGTACCAGATGCCATAGACCCTTGATATTTCTTACTATGAATTCTGTTAGATCAAAATTCTAAGCTCAGAGCTGAAAACTTTAGAATGGTGGATATCGGGATTAAGGCTTAATCCACTCTTTTTCTTATAATATCCAGATTAAATATGGCTTGTTCTCCTCTCATTTTTAATCTTCAGATTAATTAAGAGAGCAAGATTAAGGATAGTACATTCTAAAGTTTTCAGCTCTGGTTGCACAGATTTAGGGATTAGAAAATTTGAGTTCGTCGCAAAACTCAGTTCCTTTAAGTTTCTGAATAACTTTACTTTATATTAATGTTCTTCTATTTGTTGAATAAATTTCAATAAACCTGTTTTTATATATGGCTGGGCACGTTCCAACTTTTTCTAGTCGTTTCGTGAACGGGTTTTTCCAACTGTTAAAAAAAAAAATTTCAGTTAGCCGTTAATTTTTAAGGTAAGAATGGAACGTTCGTTCCGTCAATGGCATTTTGCGTATTTTTAAAATTACCTTTAGTTGACAATCTCACCTTTATTAACAGCGTTAACGAAAAATTTTCAAAATTTGTTTACGGCTCTAGCCGCTACTGGTACCTTTTATTACAAAATTAACAGCATTAACGGCAGGAAGCGCCAAAAAAATATTGTGAAGGGTAAAATAACGGCCATAGCGGCAAAAACATTTGTGAACGGTTTAAAAACACAAAAGAAGACATTTAAAAACATCAAAACATATAAAATTTTATTTTTAAAAAAATGTCATGCAACTTTAATCAGAAAATAACGAAATTTAACCGTTTCTAGCTTTTAAGTTAATGTTTTTAACCATTATTTTTTTTTCAAAAATGGTTTATCCGTTTCCTTGACGATTTAAAAATAAATGGTTTTTGCCGTTCGTTAAAGGGACTCGTCCGTTAATTTTCGAAAACCTCCGTTTTTTAATGGAACTTTGCCCAGCCCTAGTTTTACACAATGTTACATGTTTTAAATTCGAAAAACTATTGTTTTAACTCTTATTCACTTTCTTTAAAAAAATACATAGTGGTGGTAAATTTTATTTAAAAATGTGAAAATAGCCAATAGAATCCATCTTTTTTTTCCTAAATAAATTATTATTGTGTGCACAAATGTTTTATGATTGAAGAATACATAATGTTTGTGCACAGGCTAGCAAATCTATCTTACAAATAGAGAGATATATGGGAGAGAACAAATCAGGAGACGTTAACCCGAGATGGAACAAAAGAATTCCGATGTTGATAGAATTTAGGTAAATGTCTCAAAAAAATAAAGAATCCCCCTGCCCTGCTGGTTTTATACAATTTTTTTAAAAATCTAAACTCCAGTTGACTGTCAGCTGAGCATTGTATACAAATATAATGCTTGCTTCGCATGGTCCGTGTGGTTCAAGCTTGCAACTGCGGCACTGAGCAGCAGAACCGGTTCTGAACACGCTGCACCAGTAGTTGACAAATCTGACACATGGCGTCAGCACTTGTCAACTAGTGCTGAGAGGCAGGTACTACTGTAAACCAGTTTAGAAGCCACAAACCTCAGGGACCAACCTGACCATGTTACATTCTACAACATACACTACACTAGGCAGACAAATCATGAGGAGGATATGAGATGTCTCAGACAAAACTGATAGATGATCAACACTTGCATGCTTTAATAATCGAAAACCAGTTTTGGGATTAAGGTACTGTTTTGCAATAAAATACTTTATACATTTACAACAATATAATAAGATATACTAAGGATGAGAAAAATTGCTGAAATTGAAATTCTGATCGAACTTAAGAAACTGATATGTTAAGGATGATACTTTGATGATAAAAAGATTGCCAATTTTTTCTAAATATCTAAAGCTAGCATCCAGGCTTCATCATGTTCCAATTAATTTGGTTCTAATAGTTGATGTTGGTGTTGGTGAAGTTGGTAGAGTTTGTCCTATTTACATCTTCTTTCTGTCTTCATGCGCTTTCTTTACTACTGCCAACTGAACAATAAGAATTTATTTTTAGTGTTCTCATTAGGTCTGGACACGTTCACACGTTTCGTTCGTTTCAACCCGTAAAAAAATCAGGTAGAAGTTCGTTATTTAGCTTTAAGAGTGGTAAGTTTGTTTTGTTAATGGTATATTCTGTTATTTTTTAATACTAATAGCGTGAGGTTATTTTCGATTGTTAGCGGGCTCTTCCGTTAATTTTTTGAATTTTCGTTTTCACATGCTTCTATAATGTTTGATCTAAATTTGTCAAATAATTTTCTGTTTTAATACTTAGTTCCATAAAACAAGTTGACCTTGCGTCAAAAACCATTAAAACGTTTTTATCATGAGATTTTTATGCAGAGCAAATCAGAAAATTGTTTATCTATGTTGATACCTTAGAATGTGGATCTGTTACTGGAAGATTGGTGTAGGGAGCATCCCTGGTTCCATGGAGAAGTAGTGTCCACTCCTGTACAATTATATATTATTTGAAATGTCTAAAGTTTAAGGCATAGAGTTGCAAAGATATAGTGGTAAGAAAATTAGAATTTAAGGAAAATATTCAATTCCTTTATTGTTAATTTTACCCGATTTTCTGAAGTAGTTGGTTCAAATCAAACCTGACTAGAAGTTCATAGTTCAAAAATAATGTTTTAATTTAGATTGATATTCTAACCAAGTAAAGCTTTTATCAGAAACAGTTAAAAATGAAAAACTTATGTCAGGGATCACATTTTATAATGTTTGTCACCTTATTGGTTTATGCGCTTGTTTGACAAATATTTGTTAAAAAATATTGTTTTCAATAAAAAGCCTTTCTTAAAAGGTGTTAGAATAATTGATCCCACTACCTTTATAAATCCATCTTGCTTCTCTCCTTTAACGAACTCGATCTCAAGAGTCCATTTTCCCCTAGAAATAAATTATGTTAATATAATTGTTTAAAAACGTCACTAGTTTTACTTACCTTGGATTTTCCGCCCACGTGTGTGTTGTCATGAACGGCCATTTTGTAAATCCATCTTGGCTGTCGTCGTCATTAATTCGTTCAGATAGAATCATTGATCTAAAATGTGGCAACGTAATAAAAAAGTTCAATTAAAAAATCCTTTTTGCTTCGTATTTTGTGTACCTTGTTCCCATTGGTGATCTTAGGAATAGTTGTACAGATCCTCTTCGTGTTGAGTTAAGTGTTATCACAGCTTGTACATGCTCAAGATAGTTCACCTGTACATAATTATAAGAACCCTGTACATATCATAATTTGCATTTTCACGTTATTCATTTTTTATGAAAGGAAAACTTGTTAAAAGTTGTGCTAAGTATATTTTTAACGCACTATATAAAACGCACTATATAATATACCTTATAAAATCTTTCTAATTAAACTTGAAGGTTTAAAAGTGTTCAATCTTGTAAATTAGAAGGTGAACATTGGCCCCAAAATCTGTTCTTTCTGTTAAACCCTTCTTTTAGAGTAGAAATTAAAGTAGAATTTAATTATCATCTTTGCATAATTAGAAGAAAAAAAATTTAGATTGTTGAAGTAACTAACTAACTAACTTTTTCATACTTTTGTCTCAAATGTCTATATGATAAAGCTCTTTACAATAGGTGGCCAAACGGCTGAACCAAGTTGGCTATACAAATTTTAGAGAACTCATGGGTACCCCGGGGGTTGACATTTGCTAAAATATGAAATTCCAAGAGCAACGCCGGCCGATAAAGCTAGAATAAATAATTTTTAATACCAAGTGCGAGTAAACGGCGGGAGTAATTATGACTGTGAACTAAAAAATACAACTGGGCAACGCCAGGTACTCCAGTTAGTATTTTTAAAACAATATTTGTACGTTACAAAATATTTTGTATACCTCTGTATCAGAGCCGGAGCAGCTGTCTGTTTCTATTGTGAGGAAAAGAGGTTTGTTACTGGGTATCTGGCGTACACCATGGGCAGTACCAGCATCACAATGGTATCTAAACAAACCAGTCAATCAATTAATCAATCAATTTTTTTTTTTTTAAGGAATTGAGGTTAAGACACAAGCTCTGATTGTTTAATCCCTATATCTTTGCAGCCCAATCCCTTACATATTATCAAATAGTCTAAATTTTAAATATCAAAGGTTTACACAATAAGGTTGCAAAAATATAGGGATTCGAAAATTTGATTTTAAGGAAAAAAATTAAGTCTTTTTTCCAGTACTTTACATATTATACAACTTCAACCGTGTTACCTTGCTGGAACAGTTTTCCATTCCTTGGCTAGTGCCACCATTGCTCCGGCATCAAGTACTCCGAACCCAAACAGATGATTAAATTCAAGTCCGACACCTGGAACAGTAAATAGATAAAGGGACTGATCGCTTATTTGGACTCGTATATTTCTAAAGAGATGAGAATATTACCGTTCATATTCCAGTAAAACCGGTTCTTCGCGTCAAACAATGAATTCCGTTTTGAGGTGAGGACAGTTAGATGCTGCATGTCCCTCCAGGTTAACATACGGCTAATAATAATAATAATAATAATTAATAATGAAAAAAAATAATAAGAGTAAGAAAAATTTTAATTTTATGGAAACATAACAGGAAAAAGCAAAATGTCAACTTTATATTAAAAAATATTTCAAAAGTTTAGAAAAAAAGAAAATATCTGATTTCTTACTTTGCTTCGAGAGCCAGAGCAAATACACCAGCAGCCTCAGGAGCTGCAGCTGATGTTCCTAAACAAAGAGAAAGTCAAGGATAATCAAGATAGTCAAGGAAAGTCACAAATAGTCAAGGATAGTTAAGGATAGTCAAGAATAGTCAAGGATAGTCAAGGATAATCAAGGATAGTCAAGGATTGTCAAGGATATTCAAGGATAGTCAAGGATAGTCAAGGATAGTCAAGGATAGTCTAGGATAGTAAAGGATAGTCAAAGATTGTCAAGGATAGTCAAGTATAGCCAAGGATAGTCAAAGATAGTAATGGATAGTCAAGGATAGTCAAGGATAGTCATAGATAGTCAAGGATAGTCAAGGATAGTCAAGGATAGTCAAGGATATTCAAGGATAATCAAGGATTGTCGAGGATAGTCAAGGATAGTCAAGGATAGTCAAGGATAGTCAAGGATAGTCAAGGATAGTTTAGGATAGTCAAGTATAGCCGAGGATAGTCAAGGATAGTCAAGTATAGCCGAGGATAGTCAAGAATAGTCAAGGATAGTAAAAAAAAGTCAAGGATAGTCAAGGATAGTCAAGGATAGTCAAGGGATAGTCAGGATAGTTAAGGATAGTCAAGGGATAGTCAGGATAGTCAAGGATAGTCAAAAGGATTGAAAAGGCTAGTCAAGTATAGCCGAGGATTGTAATGGATAGTCAATTGATAGTCAAGGATAGTCATAGATAGTCAAGGATAGTCAAGGATAGTCAAGAATAGTCAAGGATATTCAAGGATAATCAAGGTTTGTCGAGGATAGTCCAGGATAGTCAAGGATAGTCAAGGATAGTCAAGAATAGTCAAGGATAGTCAAGGATAGTCAAGGATAGTCAAGGATAGTCAAGGATAGTCAAGGATAGTCAAGGACAGTGAAGGATAGTCAAGGATAGTCTAGGATGGTCAAGTATAGTCAAGGATAGTCAAGGATAGTCAAAGATTGTCTAGGATAGTCTAGGATAGTCAAGGATAGTCAAGGATAGTCAAAGATTGTCTAGGATAGTCTAGGATAGTCAAGTATAGCCGAGTAGACCTTAAAGGGACTGTTAACTTAAAGGAGTAGAGCTTAAAGGGACTGTTACCTTAAAGGAGTAGAGCTTAAAGGGGCTGTTAACTTAAAGGAGTAGAGCTTAAAGGGACTGTTAACTTAAAGGAGTAGAGCTTAAAGGGACTGTTTTAAAGGATAGTCAAGGATAGTAATGGATAGTCAAGGATAGTCATAGATAGTCAAGAATAGGCAATGATAGTCAGGATAGTCAAGGATGGTCAAGGATAGTCAAGAAAAGTCAAGGATAGTCAAGGAAAATTTTAAGGGTAAAAAGGGTTTTCCAATAAGTTGCTGAACATTTTATTTGAATGCTGATACCCTGGACTAACCAGTGCTATTTGTATTATTTTTCTTAAATTTGAATTTAACAGCGTTTTAGTTTATCTCAGTAATCTAAAAATGTACAGAGATGTCATGTCCTGCAGGCGCATCAACGGATAAAAAAAAGAAAAAACGAATGTTAAGGTGAAAAGGGATCGAAAGTTAGAGTTTCCTTGGACCACGACAGAACTGTAAAATCTGGGTGTGCTTCGATTTGTCATGATTTAAAAAAAACTTGTTTACAAAATAACTTTTAATTATCAAAATATCATTACGGCGTTACCTGAATGGGTTTTAGTACATTTGCCATAAAGATCTGTTGTGGCAACCCCGGTGTTTGGATCCTGAATAAGAAAATTTTATAAATAAAAAAATTGAAAACTGAAATAAAAGCCATGCTTTTTTCGTTTATACGTCTATTGATTAACTTATTAGAGTAATAATTTAGTTTAACACTATTCCATGGTGTCCCACTTTCAAAATGACCGTTTATTGGAATTTATTTTGGCATTTAATCGAAAACATTATATATTTCACATGCAAGGTTCTTATAATATCAATGTCCTAAAAATGTAGTCAGCATTTCATTCGCGTTTAAAAATTTATGGAAATTTAAGAATTTATTTCAGTCTGTAATGTATTATTTAACAGAGTCAACATTCTCTAGTTTTCGCGAAAAAAATGCAAAATTTTGCGAAAAAGTTTGCGAAATACGAATGCAAATTTTCGCGAAACGTTAATACGAATACGAAACCCTAATTGGCATATATGGCGTATAACAAGCACTTCACTTAATAAAACCTAATTATACCATGGTTGTCAAGTTTAGTGAGACAACTTGTATTTAGGACACGTTTCTTGTTTAAATAAAATCCAGATTGAGTTATAATTGAGTTTCTAGTTTCATATTAATTCTTGATTGACCTGTAAACATGATTTGTCTGGATAACTGCTTCAAGTTTAATTTGATTCATTAATAAGCCATTCATTTATGTGTTAGTTCATATACAGGGTTACCCACACTGCAGGATATGATTCCAGCTCACGGACTTTATTTCGAGTATTTTTTTTTCTATACATTCAAGCATCCCTTTCTTTAAAAACCGTTTAGTAAATGTTATAAGTCTATATTGAAGGTAGAAAACCAAATCTAATCGTCACATTTAAAATGTTAGGTAATCTTTTTTGTCTTGTTATATATACTTACAAATAGATTAATTTCATTTTTATCTTAATTGTAATTCACATAAACTTTGATAAATTTTGATAATTCAAATCCTACATTGTATAGATATTTTCTTGATTGGATAGATTTTAACACTTCAAGGCAAGGAAACAACCATGACAGGCAATTTTCATGGTTAAGACGTTTGTCTTATGTCCACTTATGCTTTAAAATTAATATAAAAATTAATTTGAGATCATTCAGAAGACGACATTTATACTAGTATTTTTACTAAATGTACCTTTGCCCCGTTACTAAATGTAGAAGCAAGAGTTGAAGAACAGCTCTCGTCGTAGTGAGCATTCTCTCCTAAACAGAGGGACAGTGAAAATAGTATTTAACACCAGTTAATTTTAAGAATAAAAGTCATTGGTTCCTATTTTGTGTCTTTTTTTATCACAACTCAAACATGCAAATATATGGACATTCTTAAGTGGTGAAACACTAAGAATCATTGAAAAAAATTTATTTCAACAATATATGTTGACTAAACCAAAAAAGAATGAGAAAACCCTTAACGATACACATGAATATATGAATGGTTATAGAATGTCGGCATCCTGTGAATGGACTTGGACTTTACCTGTGTTAATTGCTGAATTTATAGATATTGTCCACATAGAAGCAGCATACCTAAATATTCATTTGTTTGCTGTTTTTTCAGATTCACTCATCAACAAGTGTTAAAAAATTTGGATCCATGATAGTGATACCTCTCTCATACTTAAGTTATAATATTCTAAAATATAGGAATTTTAAAATTAAAGTTTGAGGTGAGTAATCAGTTCCTTTAACTCTAACTGAAATGCTAGGTTTTGTTAACAAAAAACTTGCTAGAAATGAAAAATAAAAGGATGTTCACCCATAATTCCTCTGGACTTTTTTCTTTCGATCTAAATGTTATGATAAAATTCATCCATAGCGTTGATTCCATGCAGTTTGCAACATTTTTATAAAAAAGACTAATCTATAGAGGACGTGAGTCAGACTCTAAATAACAACGCATAAACAACTTCCAGTATATATATATTTCTTATAACTTATTACTAGAGGGTTCAGAACTAGAGTCAATATCAATATCGCACGTGTAGACTGTAGATCATGATATCAGTACTATGCCCCGTATCCGTTCTATCTCATTCTGTTGAATCTTGTGGAACTAGTTTAACGCGGCCAGGCATCGTCTTCCACAAATCAATATTTTTAAAATAAGCTTCCTGGATAGCTTCACAAATATGTATCAAATTCTCATTTTAAATGAATCCCTCTGGTTTAAAATAAAAAGAGAATTTTACTTTACAAACCTGCGCTCTGGATGTTTTGTAGGCAAAATTGGCCTTGGGAACTGTGGGTAAGTAAAAAAAAATAATTTCCCGAATAGTACATTATTGTACACAATTTTATCGTCTTTTTAGAGCAAGTGGTTGTCTTAGGGACGTTAAGTAACTGAAACTTTCTCTGTTGCGGGAATGCATTAGGTTGGTAATGTTTGGTCAAAATACGGTAAAATAAATGATTACCCGTCACAGTTGCAGTCGTCATCTTCTCCACCATCTCCACTAGCCCACACATAGATATTCCCTAGTCCTCGCCTACCCTCATTTACTCCTCTACAATTAACATAGATATTCCCTAGTCCTTGCCTACCCTCATTTACTCCTGTACAATATACATAGATATTCCCTAGTCCTCGCCTACCCTCATTTACTCCTCTACAATATACATAGATATTCCCAAGTACTCGCCTACCCTCATTTACTACTCTACAGTATACAAAGATATTCTTTATTCCAAGCCTACCCTCATTTACTCCTCTACAATATATATAGATATTCCTTAGTCCTCTCCTACCCTCATTTACTCCTCTACAATTTACATAGATATTCCCTAGTCCTCGCCTACCATCATTTACTCCTCTACAATATATAAAGATAGTCCCTAGTCCTCGCCTACCCTCATTTACTCCTCTACAATATACATAGATATTCCCTAGTCCTCGCCTACCCTCATTTACTACTCTGCAATATACATAGATATTCCCTAGTCCTCGCCTACCCTCATTTACAATATACATAGATATTCCCTAGTCCTCGCCTACCCTCATTTACTACTCTGCAATATACATAGATATTCCCTAGTCCTCGCCTACCCTCATTTACTACTCTACAATATACATAGATATTCCCTAGTCCTCGCCTACCCTCATTTACTCCTCGTAAATTTTCTCATCTAACTATTGTTTACTCACCTAACTATTGCTCTCATAGTTGCATTCCTGGGACCATCAACTGTTCTTCCATCGTCGGTTGGACCCCAGCTAAAACCATTACAAATAAAATGCCGTTTTAATTATAAAAAGTAATTTTTTACTTGTTTACAAAGGAATTCAGTCTTCGTCGCAAACTCAAACTTTCTAATCCTTTTATCCTTGCATTCGTATGGTTTACAATTTTGATATTTCAACTTTAGATTATTTGAACAAACATCATTTATAGTTTAAAATATCAAAGGTCTACAACATCAGATTGCACTGAGAAAGGGATAAGAATATCAGAGGTTGTGGCAAAGACTCAATTTCTTTGCGTATATTTTTGGAGATATTCGAAGAATTAGGGTTTTTAAACATTTAACTCTTGCTTTTCAAGTCGCAATTTTGTCATTGTTCTCTAATATGCACAAATTTTCTCGGGGTTTTCTGTTCAAATTGATGGATTTTCAAAATTATTTAAGTATCTACTTTTTAACAAGCAAGATTTTAAATTTCGACCAGCCCTAAGCCTTCCCTGGGATCACATTAGATGCCACAAACATTTTGGAAAGTTTGCTGTTAATTGAATACAAACATGGAAATAAAAGCAAATCAATTTATCGATACGTAAACAATAACAAACATATCAATAAGGGTATTTTTGGCAGGATTTAGAATTGAGTTAACACAATTAGGGTTGTTATTTTTTATAAGTTTGAAAACGATCGCTTGTGAAAATGTCTATTTCGTGGACCAAAGGAAACGATCTTTTTCGAAAAGATGAAAACGATCCATCTTTAAGCACAATCGCTATCTGTAAAAGTTGTATTACCTAGCTGAGTATATATCAATAAGATCAGGTTTATGACCCATTGAGTTAGCTTCGATCAGATCGGTCATATAGGGTTGATCCAACATACGTATACCTTGAGATGAATGAATTATTCAGAGACAAAATATGCTTTATTTTTTTTATAACTTCCCTTCATTGAAAACTACATGTCCAACGGCAAAAATATTCGTAGTTGGTCTTTTTTCGGGGAAAGAAATAAATACAACGTTTTACCTCAATAAACGCTATTTAATGTGAATACCAAAATATAGAAATATCCGACTTTTTAACAAAAATATATGTAGAAACCTTACTGAACCTTATTTTTGAAAAAAAAAATGTTTTTTTCCACGAAATTATTTTAGTTATTTCATAGAATCTGAGTGTTGAAAATAAATTGAACAAAAGATAAAAATATCTGAAGAAAAGTTAATAAAATGTAAAACGAAGAAGACCGAGTGGATAAGAGAGATGAAAAGTACTCGAGATCGTGTTCAATAAGATTTTCAACAAGTTTCATCTAACACTTGAAAAGAATTCATGGTTTATTGTTCTTATCCAATATTAAACTAGAAACAGTAAATAACAAAGTTTTCAAAACATAATTTAAATCATTGGATTGATTGGCATCAGACATAAAAGATTTTGTGGAAAAATCAATTCTTTTATGAAAATTGTAGACTGCTTTGTATCGGAAAAATTTTACTTGAATTAAAGTTAATGTAAACATAATGAGAATTAACTCTCCATTTAAAGTATGTCCGATTCATATCGGTACCCTTTTCACCTGTACATGATAAAAAGGCAGTGCAGAGTAATCCATGTATTTTTTTAATTTTGAAAAAAATACTTTTTTTCTGCGATTCGCGGAAATGAATAATAATAGTTTTCAAAAAAGTTGTCAATAATTACTTTCCGCGGATAAAGAAATTAATCGACCAGTCCACGGTTTACAGGGTACCGTTGTGGATAGAACATGGCACATGTAATTAACGTCACAGTCCCATTTGTTAGAAATATTAAAAGTTAGTAACCTGCAACCATAGAATCGTAAGCTACTCCTACACCACAAACATTATTATCTCGTGATGCAGCAACTTCTCCTAGTATAAAACTTTAATGGGCGATTGTCAACAGATTGTCAGATCCCTATATCTTTGCAATTTGATGGTTTAAACATTTGATATTTGAAACTTATGCTTAGAATTTTTAGCGTTAGATTATCAAATATCGGGTTGCAAAGGTACAGAGTTTAAAAAAAATCGGAATTTGTAGCAAAAAAACTCAGTTCTTTTTTAAGATTGATTTTAATGACTTAACAAATATCTGAAAGGAACAGATATTTTTAAAGTCATTAAAATCCAGTATGCCTTCTGACCATTTTCAAAAAGAGGGTTGAACAATTCCAGTCATTAAAAATGATGGAGACGTATAAAATATTTGGACAGCGTTGGTTTCATTTATCTTGTTAAAATCAATCTTAAAAAAAGAACTGAGTTCTTCCCACAAACTGAAATTGTCTAGTCCCTAAATCTCTAAAACCTGATGGTGTTAACCTATCATATTTCAACCTTAGACTATTTAATCTGGCAGAATTCATAGTATAGAAATATTATAGGTCTATGACATTTGGTTGCAAAGATACAGAGATTAAAAAGACAGATTTTGTTGCAAACATTTAGTTCTCTTTAATGATTGATTTTGTAAACAAAAATCAGTTCTATTCCAATATTTTTTTACTTATAATACTAGATAGTTTTGGAAACGGTCAGATGGCGTACTACATTTTAAAGATTTTAAACTTTCTTAAAATAGTCGCTTTATTGTCAAGTTTATTTTCACACGCTGTACCCTAATTAAAAGAATTGACTTACCAAACACTTTAATAATTTAAAAACTCACGTTTTTTGCCAGTCTCCAGTTGAAAAATTCATTAGAGAATGCTACTAGTACTGCTTATATCACCACAAAAGCTTTTCATGTACACTGTACAGTTGTACATAATTCCTACCTGCACAACGAGTTCCATGTACAGTTGTACATAATTCCTACCTGCACAACGAGTTCAATGTACGGTTGTACATAATTCCTACCTGTACAACGAGTTTCATGTATAGTTGTACACAATTTCTACCTGCACAACGAGTTCCATGTACAGTTGTACATAATTTCTACAACCACAGCGAATTCCATGTACAGTTGTACATAATTTCTACAACCACAGCGAATTCCATGTACAGTTGTACATAATTTCTACCTGCACAACGAGTTCCATGGCTGTTAAACCAATCGTCTGTATACCGGGGGAACGGGTAGGGATCGTTACTACTGAAGTCGTAGCTAGCTCGGGCATTCTATATTAGATATAAAATTATAATAATATTAAAAATAAAATACTTACATAGTTGTTATAAAGGTCAGGGTGCATATAATCTACACCATCGTCCATAATAGCTGTTGTTACGTTCTTCCCAGTTACACCCTGTATATAAAGATTTATTGTTTCAAATTACACCTATTATATGGGTTATTTCAAATTACATCCTGTACATAGACACTAATTATTTCAAGTTACACCCTGTACATAAATACTGATTGCTTCAAGTTACACCCTGAGGGTACATAAATACTGATTGTTTTAAATTACACCCTGAGGGTACATAAATACTGATTGTTTCAAATTACACCCTGAGGGTACATAAATACTGATTGTTTCAAATTACTCCCTGAGGGTACATAAATACTGATTGTTTCAAATTACACCCTGAGGGTACATAAATACTGATTGTTTCTAGGTATACCCTGTACAGTAAACATAAATACTGATTGTTTCAAATTAAACCCACAGTGTGCATGAATACTGATTGTTTCTATTTACACCCCGTACACTGTAAATAAATACTTATTGTTTCAAGTTACACCCTGAGTGTACATAAATACTGATTGTTTCTAGTCACACTCTGTACATAAAAACTGATTGTTTCAAGTTACACCCTGTACAGTAATATAAATACTGATTGTTTCAAGTTACACCCTGAGTGTACATAAATACGGGGTGTTTCTAGTCACACCCTGTACAGTAAACATAAATACTGATTGTTTATAATTACACCCTGTACGTAAATATTTGTTATTTTTAAGTCACACCCTGTTGTTTCAAGTTACACTCTGTACATAAAAATTTGAAGGTTAAAGTTACACCATGTACAAAAAGAATTGTTGTTCCAGTTTATAATCTGTAAAAAATGATAAAAATGGCAAATGGCAAATGGCAAATACTTTGTACATCGTGCATTTAACATCATTATGAGCAGCGAACTAGTTAACAACAGAGTTGATCTAATTTGGAAATACTGTTTAAAGCGAAACGGGAAGTTTTTGCCCCAAACTTATTTTTTCTAATCCCAAATCTTTGCAATCTATGAAACCTATGTAAACCTGTGATCTTTCAAACTTATAGTATATAAAAGACTTCACAGTTTAAAATATCAACGGTCTCTGACATTGTGTTGCACAGATATAAAGATTGTGAAATTCTGACTTTGCGGCAAAAGCTCAGTTCCTTTCATCTCTTATCGTTATGACGCCCCAGATATAAGAGAGTTACTGATTATCAGCTAAAATATGCGATATTTTCCACAGCATGTTCTATTGTGTACAAGTACTGTACACGACCAATCAGCAAACATCTTCAGGAACATTTAAGGATCCTTGGATACGAAACACAATTAATCTTCAAAAAAAGACTTAATTCATAAATGTTATGTTTCATGTTTAAAATTGGAGTATTTCTTTAAAAGTTGTAAAACTTAACCCCTGAATGGGTATTATGTTCAACAAGTGGCCGTGAGATGGCACTCTAAAAACCTATCGTAAAAACGTAGCATGTCGTGCCGGGTCAACTTAGGCCTACGTAGCCCAGCCTGTAAAAAGAAGATAGGCAGTCTGTGAAGTCTGTGTGACGCCCCGTGTTTCCAGAAAATAAACAAAAAACATTCTATTTTCTTACTCTATTTTCCTGCAATCGATCCTGGGAAGTACGAACAATATTTTTGTTTTCTTCATCCCAACTCAACAAATAGTATATATATTTGATAAACATTATAATTTCTAGTTAAACCGTATACCCTATATTAAAAACAAATATTTTGAATAAAAATATTTAAAAGCTAATTTCATCTGAATACTTTAATTTTGAATAATGACGTTTAAAGTTGCTGAGGGGATACACCGTTAGAAATAAATAAATTACTGAATATTACTTATTATTCCGCGAAAAATTAAGCTTTTTCCATTTAAATTATTTTAAAGATTTTGTTTTTTAGTTTTAGAAACTATTTCAGCTTTTTCTGCCCATACAATTATACCGACTTCGACAGTTTCTTGTAATTATGCGCTTAAAAAGTCGTCTTAGTTTTGTACTTTCGTAAACAATGCTGACGTGTAAAAAGAGCAATCTAAAACCAAGGGATTATATTATAGATGCGACTCTAGGCTTTCATTGACAGTAAGGTTATATATACCTGAGCCCATGCAGCTTCAACGTTCAGATCTAATCTTGCTTTTCCTCCATTCTGTCCAGTGTTTTTCTATATACAGAACTCTTATAAATACATTATATTTAATACATTACTAATCCTACTTGTCCTTCATTCTGTCCAGTGTTTTTCTATATACAGAACTCTTATAAATACATTATATATAATACATTACTAATCCTACTTGTCCTCCATTCTGTCCAGTGTTTTCTATACACAGAACTCTTATAAATACATTATATTTAATTCATTACTAATCCTACTTTGCCTCCATTCTGTCCAGTGTTTTCTATATACAGAACTCTTATAAATACATTATATTTAATACATTACTAATCCTACTTTTCCTCCATTCTGTCCAGTGTTTTTCTGAACACAGAACTCTTATAAATACATTATATTTAATACATTACTAATCCTACTTGTCCTCCATTCTGTCCAGTGTTTTCTATACACAGAACTCTTATAAATACATTATATTTAATACATTACTAATCCAACTTGTCCTCCATTCTGTACAGTGTTTTTCTATACACAGAACTCTTATAAATACATTATATTTAATACATATACTAATCCTACTTGTCCTTCATTCTGTCCAGTGTTTTTCTATACACAGAACTCTTATAAATACATTATATTATCCCACCTCCCCTGCCTTTACTAGTCTCCCTTTCTCACACAATCGTCTTTATACAATCTCCTTTTATACATTCTCCCACCCCACCTCTTTAAAGGGACCGTTCACTTATTTGGGTAAGAAATTAACTCTTTGCAACAAACTCTGATTTTCTAATCCCTATATCTTTGGATTCCAACGTCGTAAACCTTTGAAATTTCAAACTATGACTTTTGTTAGAACAAAAAATATAAGTTTGAAATATAAAGCGTTTACAACATTGGGTTCCAAAGATATTGGGATTAGAAAATCAGAGTGGCATCGAGTCAATTCCTTTGAGGGTATACTAAAAAACCTATTAGCTATTCATTTCAACGAAAACTTTGGCCGGAGAAAAAAGACGATTAATCATTCAGAATTCCAGGTATGATACCTTTGCGTTTACAGTATTTGATGCCTTTTGTCAGTCATGGATTAAAAAAATATTTCAAATATTGAATTAAATTGTAGTATCTACTATCTAATTTTAGATATCTTTAATTTTTTTAAAATATTATAAAATTGTCTATTTTCAAAATATAACTTAATTTAAATATTTGACGGTTTGATCCGTTTTTTCTACTGCCCCAGACATCACCGTGTTTTATTGAAGAGTTGGAATCTAGGTAACGGTTTGTCTGATAGAGAAAGTCGTCTTTGTAATTTGCTAAATCATGTTAGAACACAAAAAAAGTTAATTTTTTAATAATTTGAAAATCAAAAGTTTCTATATTTTACTTTATAATGGCAGACAAATGATGGTCATTGAAATATGATAATTTTAGATTTTATGGGGCTGTTGTTACTAAAAAAAAGATTTAATTAGTGCATGTCTATGAAAAGCAGTTGCTTTCTGCTCTCGGAGAGATCCTGCTCCACATTTTGGAAAAGCGCTGCATAGAGTTGCTCATGACATCCTACAGGGGAGCAGCAAACAGTAAACAAAAACTCCATCTTCAGGGTATCAAACTATCAACATCTCAGCTGAAAGGAGGAACATAGAAGTATAATCCCTGATAGGTACACAATCCATGCACAATGATACCGGTTTTTTACTTGGCTGGCTTTGAGGACTGGACTACTGTGTAAGATTCCACAGCTCGTAATAGGGATAGTTCCATTGATGTAACTCCTTCAGTTCGCATACAAACCAGGAGCTAAATTCAGAGTGGACAGTTCTATTGATGTAACCCCTTCAGTTCGCATATGGACCCAGAGCTAAGCTCGAATTGCAAATAGTCCGGCCTATAAACAAGACAATGTATTAGCTATTTTGTATATAGCTATAAGTCAGACAGAAAGTGGGGCGGACGATAAGTTGCCAATGTGGAGAAATCTTTGTTGTTAGAAAATGCAAACCCAGAAAACATGCTTTGAACACATGTTTGAATGCGTGGAGAACCAAAGCTAACATTGCCCCAGATCCTAGCTTGAATTCAAGCCAATAGGCATGAACCACGACTTGGAAGGAGAAAATAGGACCAGCCTGGTCTAAAACCGAAATGGAGACAGTATTCACGAAGATTCCGTAGACGGAAGATTAACTCGTTGTAGGAGGCGAATGAAAGGAGGAGAGTCCATCAGAGAGCTCCGGCTTTCCAGGATTTATTAGTATTATTATATTTGTTCATTTTTACTTGTAAATATATTTTTTCCTTTACTCTGTAGAGTTACTCACATCAGTTTTCAGGCTTTAATTTTCCTTTTTTTATACCATCTTTATATGGTAACACTAAACAAAAAATCAGCCTTTTCTCCGGTCATAGATATCTTTGGAAAGTAATCAATGAATAGCTAAAAGGCTAATTAATTTACCCAATTACCCAAATAAGTGAACGGTCCCTTTAATCCATCTATACAATCTCTATCCCCCCTCTCTTTTCATACATTCTCCCTTCCCACCTCTCCCTCTGTAATCCCCCCCTCCCCCAACTCTTTCTTTTATAATCCACCCTGTCCTCCTTGTGGTATAAAGGGTTGAAAATAAGTAAGAGAGAAGTAAATATTCTTGTAATCTTCATTAGATATTATTAGAACTAATATTACAGGGATTATACATTTGTATTTATATATATATATATATATATATATATATATTTATTTAAGAAATATTTATTATAACAAGGAATATGGAGAAATATGGAGGAATATGGAGGAATATGGAGGAATATGAAATAATATGGGACCCCCCCCCCTACCAGGTCATGTTTTAGTTTATTTCCATAAAAAGTATAATATATACCCTATTAAATGAAGATTTTGATATTTCACATTTAACACTAAATAGTAAAGCTAAAGGGTTTATATATATTAAAATTTTATCGCTTTTTTTAATGCCAGACCAAAACATAAACCATTACAGCTCTTTTATTTTTGGGTTTAAAATCATATTTATTTTAATTCTTCTCTTCGTAATTTCCTTTACTTTATCAAACCCTTTTATACCCAATCTTTTAATTTTCTTTTCTTCTTTAAAGGGAGTGTTTACGAAAACTGAAAGGTGGTACTAATCTGTTGCGTCTATAAGGAGAAAATTGTTATATACGACTTATGCTGAAGAACGTAGCGTCCATACAAATTTAGAAAGTTGCAATTTTCAACTCGGATCTTAAACAAATCAATTTAACTCCAAACAAATCATTCAGATATTACAAACAATAGTCATCGATTATTTTTCGACGCATTTGTATTTAGTTGATATTTCATAATATTTTTTTATTTTTCATGATCTGAGAGTCACTTCTGAAAACATTTATTCCTGTTTCTAGGATTTTTGATAATTAAGACGACATTTTCCCATTTTCCAGGAATGTTCGAATTTCGAAAATCCAGCACCAGCGAAAATTTTTTTTTTTTTTTTAAATCAAATATATTATGAAATATTATCAAATTTCCTCTTGTCCTTGCCCATTTTCATCCTTTCCCATTTTCTTTTTCTCTTATTACTAATTCTTTCTTTTCCCTTTCTTCTTCTTTTACTTTTTAAAAATTTAAAAAAAATTCTCGTTCAAAAACAATCTCACTTTTTCAAACTCCCGTTCAGTTTTAAGCAGCTAGAACAATCTGTATAGTACGTAAAGACTATTTATGGGAAACGGGACAGTCATCCTCTTTAAGTAAGTGTCAANACCACTGAAAGGTGAAAAGTGGATCTGTTGGATCTTCCAAAGGTTGAATATCTTCTACCAAATTCTCAACCTAAACACAATGATCATATCTCTAGGAACTCACAACGCTGCGCAGACCTCTTCATGAAATATGTTTAAAATGCAAAATAGAAATAATAAATATTTTACCTTTAATTCATCGTAACCCCTTTTCTCTTGCTGACTCTTCATTAAATTTTGAAGTTTTTCAAAATAGTTTTCGTCATGGACGATAGCAGGGTCAACCTAAGGGAAAATATTTATATAGACTATTGTAGGGTCAACCTAAGGGAAAATATTTATATGGACTATTGTAGGGATAATATTAGTCATGGACTATATCAGGACCAAGCTAGGGAAAATATTCGTCATGGACTATGGCAGGGTCAACTGGATTACTTCTTGAAAAGCGTGTTTAAACTGGATTACCTCTTTAAAACCTGTCTTAAACTGGATTATCTCTTGAAAACTGGTACTGGATTACCTCTTTAAAACCTGGTTTAAACTGGATTACCTCATTAGAAACTGGTTTAAACTGGATTACCTCTTTAAAACCTGGTTTAAACTGAATTACCTCTTTAAAACCTGGTTCAAACTGGATTACCTCTTTAAAACCTGGTTTAAACTGGATTACCTCTTGAAAACATGGTTTAAACTGGATTACCTCTTTAAAACCTGGTTCAAACTGGATTACTTCTTTAAAACCTGGTTTAAACTGGATTACCTCTTGAAAACTGGTTTAAACTGGATTACCTCTTTAAAACCTGGTTTAAACTGGATTACCTCTTGAAACCCCGGTTTAAACTGAATTACCTCTTTAAAACTGGTTTAAACTGGATTACCTCTTAAAAAACTAGTTTAAACTGGATTACCTCCTGTTCTAAGGATTGTTGGAGTTGGTTCCAGGCAGATTTTCCCTCAGCTTCTGCTCTCATCTAACAAAAACTAATCTTTTTAAACTAAAAATTTTACTATTCATCTTTTTTAAATTAGGCTTAATTGTTTTCGACAACATGTTTTTGAACAAAATTTTCATAAATTTGTTAAAGTTTCGTCTAAACACCACTTAGGTTATAAGAGAGAAAGTGGGTAAATAAATAATGATCAAATTATGTAAGGATAATGTGGTATTTTTTTATTCATGAAGATTATCTGCTTCAACCCGCGTGGGTCGGGACTACACCTACAGGTTTATTTACAAAGAATAGGACGACTGTAATATTTATAGTTCCCTGGTTTCAGATACTTTATTTCTTTTCATAGTCAATATTTTAAACGTTGCTCATTTAATCCTAAAGACGAAATAGTTTAAAATATCCTAGGTCTTCGGCACATGTGTTGCAAGGATATAGGGATTAGAAAATTTGAGTTTGTGACAAAGACTCAATTCTTATTAGTTATAACGTCAAAATTTAGTTTTTCTATTACCCCTTGCATTGATAAAAATTAACCANCCCCAATTATCTCTCCTTCTAATGTTTACATTACAATATAACGCTGGATGTGTAAACAAGAATATATTTATCTCTAAATAAATATTTGATATTTATTTCCCAATAACACCACTCCTTCTGTAATATCTAGATATGATACATACGTCTTTATATAACCCCTGTTCAGATTACAAAGATCCAAACATCTATGAATAGTTGCATCACATTTCAAGACCGGGTCGAATTTTAGATGACGCAGCGCCTTTTTTTTTGCATTGCGTATATATAACTGTAAAACGTTTGTTTTTAGCTTTTAAGAAGTAATTGACATAATTCTCGTCGATTTTTGCACCGGAGCTTGGAACCTTAGAATCACTTTGAAATATTACATATATAATGTGAAGAAAAAGATGAAAAGATATTCAATGTAAATTAAATTTTTTTCTAATGGCACATAAAGTTCATAGTGCTATTCATTTTATGAATATTTCTTTATATCGCTGAAATTATTAAAAATTTTCTCAATGTAACATTTTGGCATAGACACATGATATTATGTAGACGAAAGATATTTTAATATTACTTTTAAACTGACCTTATTCATCAGGTCTCGTCCTGCACCCCATCTAGAATAGTTGAAATATTTTAAATAACTTTTTATGATACTCCTTTTTTAAATAAGGGTCCGTTCTTTTTCGTTCAAAAGCCCAATTTAAAACTTAAAACTTAGAAACATATTTTACAAAAGGATTTTAAATTTTTTCTAAGTCAATGATTACCTTTTAACTCGCTTAAACCCAGTCTGCTGGAAAACTTGATGAACCTAGAAACAATTAGAATCTAAAAGTGTTTCATTCAAATCATCAAATTATTTGTATTTGTTGTTTTAAGGCCAGTACAATTTGGTTTTAGTAAAAATATAACTATTTTGTTGTCTACTATATAAATGTTATTGAAAAAATTATTGACATATTGATATTTATTTCTACTAATATCGTTTTTTTTATATAATTTACCAGAGGATCTTGCTTGAGTTTCCTGGTGTGGACTAGACTTCGTTTACTTCGAACCTTTGGCACACCCTCGTGCACAAAATGGAACTCATGGTTCGAACTCAGAACCTAGAGATAATATTTAGAACTCAGAACCTGGATATAATATTTAGAACTCAGAACCTAGAGATAATATTTAGAACTCAGAACCTGGATATAATATTTAGAACTCAGAACCTAGAGATAATATTTAGAACTTAGAACCTAGAGATAATATTTAGAACTCAGAACCTAGAGATTATATTTAGAAGTCAGAACCTACAGACAATATTTAATACTCAGAACATTAAGATAATATTTAGAACTTAGAACCTAGAGATAATATTTAGATCTCAGAACCTAGAGATAATATTTAGAACTCAGAACCTAGAGATAATATTTAGAACTCAGAACCTAGGTAATATTTAGAACTCAGAACCTAAAGATAATATTTAATACTCAGAACCTAGAGATAATATTTAGTACTCAGAACCTGGAGATAATATTTAGAACTCAGAACCTGGAGATAATATTTAGAACTCAGAACCTAGAGATTATATTTAGAACTCAGAACCTAGAGATAATATTTAGTACTCAGAACCTAGAGATAATATGTATAATTCAGATAGTATTGAGAAATTATAAACTAAACAGATAGAAGTTAGTACTTACTGCAAAAAGATAATATTCAGTAATTTAAAAAGTAATTTTAAACTTTAAAAAGTTCTAATTGTATTTTTACCTGGCCTACACTATGGAATCCGTTTCTTTTAGCAATAGTGTGCGCTATTTCTACGGGATTGGGATGTCCTAAATATTGATTATTTTAAAACATTTTCCTGGTTAAGAAATAATCAAACCAGATTCAATACAGGACACATCAATACAGGACACATTCTATACAGTATACAGGACACATACTATACAGGACACATCCTATACAAACCCGATTAAATACAGGACACATTCTATACAGGACACATCTATACAGGACACATTCTATACAGTATACAGGACACATACTATACAGGACACATACTATACAGACACATCCTATACAAACCCGATTCAATACAGGACACATTCTATACAGGACACATCCTAAACAGGACACATCCTATACAGGACACATCCTATACAGGACACATCATATACAGGACACATCCTATACAGGACACATACTATACAGTATACATCTATACAGGACATATACTATACAGTATACATCTATAAGTATACAGGACACATACTATACAGGACACTTCAGGACACATACTATACAGGACACTTACTATACAGGACACATACTATACAGAACACATCTATACAGGACACATTCTTACAGGACACATCTTTACAGTAAACAGGACACATACTATACAGTACACATACTATACACGACACATACTATACAGGACACACCCTATACAGGACACATCAATACAGTATACAGGACACATACTGTACAGGACACATACTATACAGGACACATCCTGTACAGAACACATACTATACAGGACTTATACTATACAGGACACATCCTATACAGGACACATCCTATACAGGACACATCCTATACAGGACACATCCTATACAGGACACATCCTATACAGGACACATCCTATACAGGACACA